TACTTTTATGGTACATCGGTGAATCTGCAATGGAATTGGATATTTCAAGCCTCCCAGGTGGTTCAGTTAATAAAGCCTGCGTTTAGAGTGAAATCGAGGAAGGGTCCATGTTCAATTCCAGAGTATGCTGAGTTAGGCCAGAATAAACTTTTTTCAGCAGTTTATTTTTTGTAGTCACTCCTATTAATGAAACTGACAGAATGGTGGCACTCAGGTTCCGGCTGCATCAATACACAGTAATGTGTGGAGGATTCCAGCTTGTACTCCCAAGAATCACTGCACAATGAGATCTTGATTTCAGGTACCAACTCGAGAGAAAACACAAAGTGACTTAGAAATTCTAATGTATTCCCCACAGGTCAGTTCTGAGTTGTGTGTGGCCGGGGCTGGGGTGGGGGGGTCAATAACAGAACAGTCTAGACTGAGTAAATTGAGTTTCAGTGATCAGTTCACTAGAAATCAACCGGATTTCAACCTAGTGGATAGAGCTTGTTTTAATGATGGGCACGGAGCCTTGTGCAGAATGAAATGAAGGAGAGGGAACATAATGCATTAATGCAGCGTAATTTAAATTCTATAATCCCCGAATTTTGACATTTTAAGAGGAATTCAGCGAGAAACAAATTCTGATTTGCAGCATTTGTAGTTAGTTAAATTCAGATTCTTGATTTTGAAGTAGCTCCGGTTTTAAATGCCTTTGCTGTTCTCCAGTCTGTCACAATGGGTCTGGAGGTCACTGATAGGATTGCAACTCCCGCATATTGATTCCAAATTTTTTTGAGGTGATATGATTGGCTAAATTTAACTGCGACAACTGCTTTTCTCACTGAACCATCCTTTAGCATGTTTAATTGCTGTTATTTGTGATATACTAAATGGGGGGGGGGATCTCTGAAAATAAGCTTCATCTTTCATTGCAGAGTTCATTACTTGTGAACATCTTGATCATATTGAGCTATCGATGGAACACAGTGAGTGCTTTTCACGGTATGCAATAGGTGGCCTCCCAAAAAATGTTTTACTGAAAATATGAAATCTGAAATCTGTGTGTGAGACTAGTCTTTTTTTTATATATCCATATATAACCAGATCCCAGTTGTGACTGTGGGAGAGATTGTTCTAAATCTAACAAGAAAGGAAAGTTCTGCAACATTATTGCTACTGCTAATGCAATCCTGGGGCTATTTTCAGCACAACTGCCTTCAGTTTGTGACTATCTGGGACTTTGTTTATCTCTATTTACAGAATACCACAATACAGATTGAAAATGCCTCTTGACAAAATGCTAATGTGTCGCCTTATGTTAGATTAATGTGTTGTATTTTCTAAGAGGGCAGATTAGAGAGTTTCCCTGGATTGCTGCACAGAACCTCGTGAATATGTGTGGGTTCCTTCTTGCAAGGAATAAAATTTCAAACTGTGCCTGTGAAATATATTTTGATATCACAATTGAAGCATTTCAGCTAAACTGGAATCCTGTGTATATTGTGTATACAGACAGAGGGTTTCGTGACCTGGGAACAAGTTGTTAAAGTGAGATTTAAGAGGTTTCCACTCCTACCTTTTTGACTTCTATCGACTTTCAGCCCTCTCTTTTTTGGCTTTCCCTAATGTTTGTAACTATAGTTAACAATTCGATTTGTGGCATTTGACAAGTATTCAGCCATAGATTTATAAAACAATTTAATTTTCATACAACAACAACAAGATTGCATTTATAGAGCGCCTTTCACGTCGGGAGGACGTCCCAAGGCGCTGGACAGTTAGGTCGGGACCAGAGCAGTGGGGGGGGGGGGGGAATGGTGAGGGGAGAGATGGGAGGGAGCGAGGAGAAGGGTAGAGAGTCGAGAGGGGAGGTGAAGGCACGGTTGAAGAGAAAGGTCTTGAGACCGGCCTTGAAGGAAGAAAGGGAGGAAGCGAAGGCACTGGGGGATGGAGTTCCAGAGCCTAGGGGCTGAGAGGCTGAAAGCCCGGCCAGCGATGTTAGGGAGGGGGGGGTGGAGCAGACTGGAGCCAGAGGAACGGAGGGTACGGGCAGGTAAGTAGGGGGATAGTAGGTCGGAGAGGTAGGAGGGAGCGAGGCCGTGAATGGCCTTGTAGGTGAGGATGAGGATCTTGAATTCATACCATTACTGTTGATTACCACCGAATAATTAAAATCATTCCTATTGAATTATTAAAACTAACTAATTTCATCTGCTTCCTTTATCAAGCCAAATATTAGCAGTATCCTACGAACAGTCGTGGATTGAGTGACCAAAGTATTATGATTTTGTTTTTTGAGGGGATTATTACTCCCGGAATTGCAGTCCACCAATTGACTAACAGCCAGGTTCCTTCATACTTCTAGGTAAACAAAAGCATGTGGAGTAAGAAAACTTGCCCAACGTTTTGCCCTGCCCGGCGATCAAACTCAGGTCCTCTCACTTGCAAGGCGATTGCTCTAACCACCAAATTACATTATTCCACATTCTGGAAGAATGTAATCAAATGGATTGATAAAATGTTTGAATAATCTGAACTCTTATGACATTACTGCAATCAGAGTGAGCAGTGCTGCTATTTTAGTATGTGATGTGAGGGCTTGAAATGGGCAAGTGTTCCATCCCCTAGCTGTCCAGTGTTATGTTGAGCTCATCTTCAGTTGAGGTAGAGAAGCGAGTCGGCTGAGATATTTCTTTACCCCACCCGTGTCTGAGGACAAGGTCATGATCATTCTTCTGAGTGATAAAAGTGATCAATACGCCCAAAGGAGAATTTCTGCACAGCTGGTGAATATCGGAGTGGTGAGGGGGGGGGCATTGTGGTCATGTGAGTGGCAGGGGTGTCATACGCCGTTGTATGTGTAAGAGGTTTGCAATGGGGATGGGGGAACATCTCAAGTTTGGATGGAGGTGGGGGGGGGTTATATTAGTGCATAAAGGGGGCTTGCCTTGTAGACATCTTGTTGCTGTGCATTAAACACTACATGACACGAACCCAAATTGACTTCCCAAAATGGAAAGTTGAAATGACTCAGAATTCTTAACTAGGGTTTATGAAACTTTAATGTTCCCAATTCTGCGATCTCCATATCACACACCACTAACCCAGAATAAATTCTCCATTATAGATAATAGCGTTCCGTTCTATTGAAGTAGACAAAATATCGGTTGTGCTTTACATTGTTGTCTTAAATGTATAAGGATAGTAAGGTGTGGTTGGATATGTTATATTGAGCCAGTATTGTAGCAAGAGGCAGAAGTGATGTAACAAACTGAGATTGTATTTGAGTCAGTTATTGTCATCTCGTCTTGGTGATGTGTTCCTGGCTTGTAACTGTATACAGCACACCAGCTTCCCGATGCTGGTAAGGGTGTTTGTTAGTGGACGTCGGACTCCTGGAAGTTTAAATCATACAATTTTACAACTTTCCATGTGCTTTTTACGTTTAAGTGGAAGACATAGTTGTCCATCAAGCCTGATTCATAAATTATGTCCCGCAATTATTGGGTAAACTAATCTAGTAAATTTCCTTTGTGAAGGATTAAAACCTGTGTACCTCTGAATTATATATAGTTCTTTACCCTCTGTGTAAATGATGTTTTAATTTTAATTTGTTATAGCTGAATCGTAAAGTAGTGTGAAATAGGCAAACAAAATATTAATTCATGAACCTCTTCTCTGACTAAATTGTAAAACCACAAAGTACTGAGAATGTGCCGGCAGCTGACTCGATTGAAGTAAACACTGGTATTATTGTACTCTATCCTGTCGTTTCTCCAACTTTTCAGGGACGTAGAAGTATTTTGGTCCTTGAGCAGGGAGCTTTGTTTCCTCCTTTCAGGGGTGTTGTTGCTTCTCTTCCATAGAGTGATTCTAACATCCAGGAAATGTGTGGGACTGAAATGGAGAATTTGCAACTGTTTGTGATAAGGTCCTTGAATGGGTGTATGTCTACTATATACATGTTGCATTAGCTCTAGTAGTAGTTCTATGGAATTTCATGACCTTTGAGAGGCTCTTTTAAATTGGCTACAAGTTGTGTATAAATTATCAATATCAAATTTTCTTCAGTTATTTAATATTGATTGGAATCTTTGAGACAAAGTGCTGTTGTGTCAATCACTGTGACCTATATAATTTGCAAAGCGTTGCAATGGATTTGAGTTTAAACTTTCTAGTTGATAGAATGATCTCTTGTGATTTAGTGTTTATTTCTTTTATCAGCTAATGTGAGTTCCACACACTGAGGCCAACAGCTAAACCTTCTCACAGACCTCTGTTGCAAAGGATTGGTTTGTGAGGAGATGGAGCAATACACCCCCTTGTAGAGGGGAAAACATTGAGATGGTCTTGTCTATGATCACTATTGGCTCCATATTGCTATTGCAGTATGTACAGAAATATTTTGGAGGTACAAAAATCCATTGTGAGGTGTGTACCAAGCAGATAGCGTTGAGTTGAAGACAAAATATTGACCACATGAAGTTGTTATGATTGTTGCAGACTCCTCCCTTTTCTGTATTGTATCTGGGGATATGGAAGCAGACTACTTTAACAGAGACACTAACTTGCTGGGAGGTGTTGAGCTGGACCAGTGTGTTCACTCTCCCACTTTCTGTCTTCGCTCAGCTGTCTTCTGCTTGTTCCCTCGGTTCCTCCCTTGGAGGCCGTACTTTTACTTAATGCCACAAATCCTTGGAACTGCTTGCCTCAATCCCTCCATCTTGTCCTCGTTATCAAAGCATATCTGAAGATTCTCCATGCCGCCCGTGCCCCCTGAGCTCGAGCCCCCCCCCCCCCCCCCCCCCGGTTAATCTTAACCATCTCTTAAAAATTGACTGCTCGGTGCATGCAATTGTGGCTGTGACCAGGCATCCTTCCCAATTTGACGAATCTTGGTTGAATGTCGAATGCTGGGCTGCTTTGCTTAAATGTTATTAAATATGTGGTTTAGCGCATTGGAGGACGTCGTTACCAAGGGTTATAGGATGATTTTATTTGTTCTTGGCTTCCAGTTGGGTTTGACGATTATGGCTCAGACTGCGATGGAATAAGGATAACTGCGTTCCTGGATTTAGCGAATCAAGATGAAATGACTCCCCTTTCAAGACTGGAGAAGTATGCTGCCAGCGACAATGTGTTCAACAGGTAACTAAGGGGAGAGGCTCAAGTCGTGTTGAATGGCTCTAGGAAATATCTTTCTAATTTATTGGTTCTTTCAGTGTTCCATTGCTGCATATATTTAAGTATTGCATAACAATGGTCTCATGCAAATTGAGATTCCCTTATTGAAGAAATGTGGGCGAGATCTTAAAAAGCTAAGGTCAACGGGGAAGAGTACTATGATGGAAATTTATTTGTATAAGCCTTTCAAATATTGTATAATTCCAGAGCAAGTGAATAACACAACTGGTCCAGCAATCTAAAACCTGTCTATGATGTCAAAATCGGTGTTACTCAGATCTGTCAAAACTGTTCAGATGGTGTGTTTAATAAACTGGATTATTGTGTGAATTCAGGATGTAGTGTTACAATGCACAGACTTCATTTTGATGTCTCCCTAATTTGGGGATTACACCCGAGTATGTACAGCAGTGTCAAAGATATGCATACTGAAACATTTTATATGATCATGTAAGTGTTTTATCCATCACAACAAGACTAGCTTTGGAAAATGCACGGTATTGAGCAGAGGTGTTTGTTGCCCAAAAGTTTATCCCCTGCGTTTACAAATAACTTGAACTTCTTTGGATCAACATTTGGGTAACCCATAATTTAATATTCCTTCTAAAAATCCATGTTGAGGGTTGGAAGCTATTTAACTTGATTTGTTCTCCTTTTCATGCTGGCCTTCAGATTGGTAATAGTGTTTCGAAGGTGGGGCAGAGTGCTGAGATATGAGATGTGTTTGCTTCTCAGCCCTTGGATGAAACCAGTCTATTTGTCTCTGCCATTGAAAGAAGGTGACAGAAGTGCTGGTTTTACATTGTGAATGACTGACTCTAGCAATTTAGTGAATTTCTCCCAAGATGGGATCAGTTCAGCCTAGCCATGCATACTTTGAACTTCTACCATAGGTCTGTGTGGTTAACATGCATTCAGAGAGGAGAAACCTTATCTTAAAGGATTTCCTGGAAGCTCTCTTTAACAGGAGCTGCCGTGATGGGTCAATGGGTGAGTGGACGGTTTGGTGTGAACCCTACAGAACAAGAATGATTCAGTCGCTGGTATGTGCTGATTTAGTCTCTGTTACTTGCATTGAAATAAGGACAATGCTTTCATAAACACTGAAATATTGCTGTTTCCTCCTACTTGATTTTAAACTTGCTTTTCCTTGGAGCTCGGTAAATAGCCCATTTTCCCTGTAAAGGGCAATCAAACGTGCCTTAGTGAAGGCAAACAGAAACCATTCTGGAATCATCCTTCATGAAACTGTTCTAATCCCACCATTGATGGCTGTTTCAGAGTAATCACTAAACTGTTTAATCCTGGTGCTTTGCTATACATTTCTAAATGTGCTTGTGGGGAGAAATTCCAAAAAAAAAATAATTTCTGTTTATCCTGCAATATTCTTGCCTTCAGAATTTTGAGCGTGTTGCACTGAGAATGTATCTGTTTAGTTATCTGAGTATGGGACATGATTCTCAGACTTAGTGTTCTGCAGTGAAGTGTATATTTAAAATGAACACACTGGTAAGGCTTCAAATATTAGATTCAAATATTGAGTTGAGGATCCTCACTTTTAAATCCCTCTACGGTCTTGCCCCAACCTACCTACAAAATACAATCCCTACACTTTGCAATGAATCCTGTGAAGTGCTTTTAGACATCCTCCTGACATCAAAGACTCTTATTAAAAGACTTTCTATTTAACTGATTTCAGTTGTTTAAAAGCTTAATGTATTGACCACTTCTGGGATGTTATTACATCAACAAATGCATTTGAAGACCGAATTCTGGTTGCTCCACATTGAATGGCAAAAAAAACTTTAATCTTCATGTATGTTGACAGACAGGTTCTTTGCAATTCTGCCCCTTTAAGAACTGATTCTGAGGTGTGTGCTTTTGGCTGTGTGGAGGGCAGACTTGAACCCGAGTTCCTTTATGCAGAGAGCTGCCTATCTTGTCTGGATCAGCAGCATGTGTTGAGTGGAGGCAAGGCAACGCACCTCAGGTGGTGGATAGGTTGAATAACCCTGGTCTATTTTCAAGCAAAGATAACAGGAGCCTGGGATCAGAGTCTGCCAAGTCTGTGGGGGGGATTTTGCATACCTGAAAAATGCAACATGGGAAATGTACCGTATATTGGCATTCACCGCAAATTGCTGTGTCTATTTCACATCTATTTCACACCTGTACGTATAGTCTTGGGAAGAGTTAGGTATATCGTGTAACTGACGGTAAGCTTTTCATTTATTTCGCTGACTGTTTCTTGCAAATCTTCACAAAAGAATGCTCTGACCTTTTGAACTGTCAGATAATATTCTGAGGATGCCCAAATGACAGACTGCCACACTGCTTAAGCCCTTTAAAGTAAATCATCTTGCTTTCTAATTCTGAGTTACTCCTTGCTCTGGCTTAGGTCAGCTTGAGTAACTATGCTGGCCGATTGATCCAAGCCCATGTCCTTCAGCTGCCTTTTAGGACTGACCCTTTTTCTGCAGAAGCCTTAGGCTGACCATCTGTGCGGCTGATGAATTGCTGAGCAGCAATGTGATCCAAGTGGGAGTGTGTTAAATGTTCTGTAACCCTTTGAGGTTACCCATCTGATGCAGAGTGGAAAGAAGTATTTAATGCTTCTTTTAGTAGCTTCTTCTTTCGTAAGCAGATAAACCACAAGCAGAATTGTTATCCCCTTGGATCTTCAAACTCATGTCTGCTGATCAGCCTACACAGAATGTGGGTCCAATACCGACATCCTGCCTAATTAATTATTTCTTATCACTGAGTGTAAATGTGTTCCAACTTCTTCTCACAATGGTGTAAAAAATCTTTTGTCCATAAATTGTCCCTGTCGCACTCAGAGTATTGCTGTGAATAGACTTGTAGCTTCATTGTTTCAAGGCCATGCTGATCAGTGTTCCTGGCACACTCCGCCCCACCATGGAGGTCGCGCTTTCAGCCACTACACCTGAAACTCTAGAACACTCTCCCTCAAACCCTACGCCTTGCCCCTGCTCTCCCCTTCTCCAAGTCCCAACTGAAAACCTCCCTCTTCAACCATGCTTAACTCAGGCTTGGAGTCACTGTTAAGTGCTCTGAGACACTACCCTGCGTGGAGGGCGCTATATAAGTGCAAGTTATTTTTGTTGGTTCGGCAGTAGCTTCAGTACAGCTCCACTATTCAAAAGATCCAGCTCATTCAGAATTCGGCTGTCCGCATTCTTACCCAGACTAAACTCCGTACCCCCATCTCACCAGTTCTGGCCCAGGCTCCACTGGCTCCCCATCACGGGACGGATCGACTTCAAGATCCTCACATTCGTGTCCAAATCCATTCACTCCCTGGCACCTCCCTACCTCTTTCCTCCCCAATCCACCACCCGACTGCCTCCGCTCAACTGGCACCGGCCTGCAACTTGTCCCTCGCACCGTTGGAGGTCGCGCTGTCAGCCATTACCCTCTGAAACTGTGGAACACTATCCCTCAATCCCTCCACCTTGCCCCCTCTCTCCCCCTTTTCAAGTCACACCTGAAAACCTTCCTTTTCGACTGTACTTATGATCACCTTCCGCCCCCATCCCGGCTCAGAGTCAGGCTCCACCACTGTGGAGACGTTACCCTGCGTATATATGGCGTTATACAAGTGCAAGTTGTTGTTGTTCTTGTACTATCATCTTGACTATCATCGACTGTTGTGGGGAGGGAGTGTGGGCGAGGGCAGCTAGGGTGGAGGTGGGGGGATGGAGGAAAGAGGGGGAACCTGAGAGAGAAAGAGGGGGAAACTGAGAGAGAGAAGGGGAGTCTGCGGGGAGGGGGGCAAGAGACTGCGAGAGTGCCGGGGGAGACTGCGAGAGAGGGGAGGGAGAGGGGGAGAGAGGATGGAGGGAGAAGAGAGGGGGAGGCAGTGAGGGGAGGAGGCAGAGAGAGGGGGGGAGGCAGGGAGACTGGGAGAGAGGAGGGGAGGCAGGGAGACTGGGAGAGATGGGGGGAGGCAGGGAGACTGGGAGAGATGGGGGGGGAGGCAGGGAGAGCAGGGAAGTAAAGCTGCAACGGGTACAGCTGGTAGTTTATGAACTGGACATGTTTAACTGCATTCCTTGTTCATTAAAAATAATTAGAGGGTTGGATGCAGTTCACTTTGTATTTCATTCCTGTATTCATTAAGAGGCTCTAATATAATTAGATTTAAAGGAATTTTGATCCACCGAATGAAAGTATGCCATTTCACTCAGCTTAGGGTCAGGGTCTTGCACTCCTGGGTTAAACTCTGATTCAAAATGTGCTGTAGTGCCAACCTGTGCAGTGGCAGGGATGTGATGGGCCTATTGTGCATTTGTTTTTCTCTTCCCCGCCCCATGATTCTTGTATTCTTACAGTACTTTTGTAACAAAATTGTTTTACATTATTTTTAAATATTAAGTGTGATTAAGTGGAGTAAATATTACTTCAATCAGCACATATTCCAAATTCAGTTCTGAATGGCTACATTTGCCAGAATCCAATTTTTACGAATCTCAGTGTCTTTTACATCAATTAAAATTATTGTTCATGAAATATAACCTGTTCAGAGAAGATGTGACCATGAGGAATATCTTAACAAGAGCTTTGTGCTGGGCAGTCTCTGTTTTCTTCACTAACAGATGGCTTGATATATTTTCCATCTTGAACAGGCAGATTGTTGCTCGAGGACTGTTGGATGTTCTACGAGCTTTCAGTGATGATGAAAAAGACTTCCTGGCTGTTATGGAAACGGTAGTTCGGCTGTCTGAGGATACAGGTATGTTGGCAATCGGCCTCTCGTAAGTAGTTTGTTATGGATCTCTTTATTAGTCAAAAAGTACTCTGCACATTGCAATCTTTGCAGGAGAGCAGTGACATGGGAAGGGCTGGGGTGGGAAGAGATAAAGTTACCCATAATGAGGGTAAAGTTACCCGTAATGAGGCTTAAACAGGAATGGTCAGTGACGAATGTGCCAGGGAGCTTTGGAGGTTGCGATTATCACGATTCTGGAGGAAAGGGTAATGTGGGATGGAGGTGCACAAAAGAAAAGGAGCCAGTGGATTAGGGATGTAGACTAAGATGTTGAAGCGATTAAAAACTACACCACTGATGAATTTGAAATATGTGTCCTGAAGGATAAAGAAACCGATTTCTGATTAATTTGTCGATTTGTATGTTTCTGATCTGAGTAGCTTGAATCTCTCCCAATGGAATAATGATGGAAATACATTTAGCAATTTGGGCACTATTGTAATGTCCTTTCAAATGATGTTTGTTATAAACTAGCAAGTGACTAGTTGGGGCTCTCCTGTACTGTAAAACCAAAAGGTTCTTGTTTCCTTGCAACTTGCTAGCTGAGGTGACCCCATGTTTACCTCTCACAGAGCCTACCGTGCGTGCTGAACTGATGGAACAGGTACCTCACATAGCCATGTTCCTGCAGGAGAACCGGCCGTCCTTCCCAACCGCTTTTTCCAAGTACCTTGTACCCATTGTTGTCCGATACCTCACAGATCCCAACAACCAGGTAAGATCTGAATGGCTTGGTTGGGACTAGGAGATGTTGCACTAAAGCCCCTCCTGCAGAATCCTTTTCAGATAAAAAGCATCTTTTTAATACTTCAACAATTTGTGTTTTGCAAATCTGTATGTACCTTGTTTGCTCAGTTGGTAGCACTCGCTTCTGGTTTGTAAGGTTGTATGTTCAAGCCTATGTCAGGACTTTGGCCTAGTTGTTTAGACTGACGCTCATTACAGTACTGAGGGAGCACTGCATTGTTGAAGGTGCTGTTCTTTACCTCAGAAGTGCTGAGGGGACATGATAAAGCTCTATAAGATGATGGAAGGTTTAGGCATACAGGGAAAGATTATTTCTGGGAGTCTGGGGGTTTAGAATTTAGGGGCATAGTTTTAGAATCAAGAACTGGAAGATCCAGAAAGGAGATTAGGAAAACCTTTCACACTTAGTGGTGGTAATGTGAAAATCTCTACTGCTTTCAGATTTACTGAGCCAGCAGTAAAAAGGACAAGTTTAGAGTTGCAAAGAACAATTTCAGAACACAAGTTTTTTTCCACAAAGGATAATTTATAACTGAATTGGTTACCTCAAGTCTAGACTCATTTTTAAATTAAAAGTTTGGTGCTGTGATGGTAGGGTGGTACAGTGGGTATTCTGGAAGGAATAGTTCAAATGACTGAAGGGCATTCTTCATCTGAACCTGTCTTGTGACCCATTTTTCATAGTTAGTCATTATTTGGTTCCATTGTACTACCATTGCTCCTAATGGCATTTGCTGAATTCCTCCTTTTGTCATCTTGATGATTGGTGTCAATATTTAGATGGGTCTGTCTTATCTAAATGGTTAAGCCCCAGTCATCCTTTTGTTCTATTGTTCTTAGGTTAGAAAAACGAGTCAGGCAGCCCTGTTGGTACTGCTGGAACAGGAACTGATCGACAGCACTGATGTTGAGACCAAGGTTTGCCCGATCCTGTTGGATCTGACTGCTCCTGACGGTGATGATGACTACAAGATCGAAGCTGTCGCAGTGAGTAACACATAGAAACCATACTTCATTTTGTACTGGATTACGTCCAGTGACCTGTGTTGTGAGATGCATGGTTTAGCTCCCCCCTGTAGCTTGGTTTATCTCCCTAAAGTTTTTCAAGAATCCAGTGTTTCCTCCAACATATGATTTTTAATGTAAATAAAACAGAAAAAACATTTAGCACTATATTTACTCTTGTTACTCAACTTTCCAATTAGTGAACTATTAACTGAAGTGACTACAGCTCATCACTGTGTCCATCAACTCTGCTGCTCTGTTTTGTGGTCTGAGCAATGAAATAAAGTCTGCACAAACTGCTGAGAATCTCAGCCGAACGTTATGTGAGAGAAGTTGAGTAAGTAAAAGCGTGGGAAACTGTTAATTCCTGGCTAAAGGCTTCAATATTTTTTTTTGAAAACGATTCACAATTTGAGATGATTCTAGGTGTTCACAGCGAGCAAGTGCTTTGAGATGTCTACAAGGGGTTTGATCTAGTCACCTAGGTGAAATTGTCACTGCTGTCAAGCGATTTGGCTGCGATACCAGAACTAAACACGCTTTAGTTTTGATGCTCGTTCACTGTCAGCTCTGACTGAATCTTTTCCGTTCTCTAGATCATTTGTAAAATGGCTTCCATGTTGAGTGGTGAGATAACCGAACGCCTGCTTCTGCTTCGATTTTGTGAGCTGTGCAGCGATGGCAAACTGTTCCATGTCCGGAAGGTAAATGTGTTAGCACAATGAGCTGTTTCACACTGATTCTTAAAGGTGGCACAGTACAGCTTTATAATGGGACTTAAGATGTTAAATTAAGACCCCATCTGCCTGTTTAGATGGATGTTAAGGATTCCCATGAAATATTGAAATAATGAAGAGAGTTTCTCCTGGGTGTCCTGGCCATCAGTCTTCCGGTTAAGCTGGTAATACAATCTCAATATTGTATGTATGATTGTGCTGTGTACAAAATGGCTGTCTTTTTTGCCTACAACAACAGTCACTATGATGGAGTAATTGTGAAATTCTTTGAGGTGTTTCAATATGTATAACACAATAAAAATTAAAGTTCTTTTTTTACATGAATTCTGTTTTGAAATTTGCAAACCTTCTCAGACCGATGTGATTCTTAGCAGAGCTTGAGCCGACTAGGAATATAAAATTTTTCATGTTATCTCTAGGTGTGTGCCACTAACTTTGGCGATATCTGTAACTCCGTCGGTCAGGAAGCCACTGAGAACCACATGGTATGTTAAGCACTTCTGCCTCCTATTATACAGGAACTCATTTTAGATTTAAACCATTCACAGACTAATCTCTTGCAATGTAACCCAGAAACCTGACTGCAGTTTACCCTATTTCTCTAAAGAGTAGGTTGTGCAAAAGAAAGAAGATTGTATATAAATAATACATAAAGCTAGCTGATCCTGTTGTATGAGAATTCCACAAAGAAATTTATCTTCAGTCTTTTCTCCTTTTGCTTTTGGGAACTAGTAATTAATTTAGCAGTTAACCCTTGAATGCACCATTTGCAAAGATGCATTGAAGGGTGTACTTCTCAATTTAGTGAAGTTCTGAGGTGGTCCTCCAGTTTCATTGACCCCTTCCATTTCTTCATGTTGGAAGTAAAAGGACTGATCTACCTAGATCTACCCAGTCACCTGTATTCACAGTGTTTTGTTCATTTAAAAATGTTCAACGTTTTATGTCCTGCGCAGCTGCACCATACAACAATTTTGCTTCACATTTTTTCCATTCGTCCTAGTGGGTTCACAGGTCAGTGAAGACTAAGGATCAAACTTGTGACCTTTTCAAATCACATTGTACAGGAAGAGCTGTTTACCAAAGAGTTTTAAATGTCCCAAGTTTCAATGCAAATATTTTTACCGCAGTTACTTCCCTGTGCTTTAAAGCTTTTACGTACAACATTATCCACTTCGCTGGTCTTAAAAGGGTTATTGACTATCAATAGCATCTAAACTGTGTTGCCTCACTCCATAATTATGCTTGATTCCAGATTCCCAGGTTCTTCCAGCTGTGCTCAGACAGTGTCTGGGGCATTCGGAAAGCCTGTGCTGAGTGCTTCATGTCTGTTTCCTGTTCCGTTTCACCTGAAATCCGCAGAACAAAACTCTCCCCGCTCTTCATCAATCTCATCAGTGATCCTTCTCGATGGGTAAGAACCTCAATCAGATCAGAAGGGCACTACGTGGTTTCTATTAGTTTTATTAAAATGTTACCATTATTGCTGACTTACAATGTTACTTTTGTGAAACAAGCTTGGAATTTTTTTTCTGAAATGTTTTTTATCCAAAGTAGTGATCCATTTTTAACTAGATTAGTGTTTCCCAAATCATGCAGTAGCCAAGATGAGCAAGCTGCTCAGATGTAACCAGCATGGTTTGTGCCAGTGTAGGATTGAGAGGTGCTGTGTAACAATACAATTTACATTTGTATAAAGCCTTTCATATCGGGAGGACATCTTAAAGCATTTGACTCTGGCTTAGTACCCAAGCTGAGGGTGAGAGCTGGAGGGGAGAGATGGCCCATGTGACTATCGAATTCCAATATACTGGAGCATGAATTAAGTGCAACTCTGATCTCTCTTGACTGTAAGTCTTCTTCTGACTAAATTCTGGGACTGTGGTAGTCATTAATGCTGGTTGAATCTGTTTTGAAGCTTTATTCAGTGGCACTTGGCGCTTTATCTATGCTGTGTATTGGGAAACTGCAATACTGTACCCAGATGTTGCTGAAACTAATAGTGGGTTTTAGTGTGCTGGTTTCTCTGAGCTGATCCTGTAATCTTTTCTTCACCCACATTCCACAACCCTTCCATAGCTATTGTGTGCCTGAACTTGAGAAAGGAAGTATTTGCTTGGAAACTGAGTGGGAGGGAGAGAAAACAGTAATTTGTTTGCATAATGTGTGGATATGCCCCATATATTAGTCTAAACATTAGTATTAGTAGCTGTGTCTGAAATATACTCTAAATCTGTACTAAAACAATTCTCTTGCAGGTCCGCCAAGCAGCATTCCAGTCTCTGGGTCCATTTATCTCCACTTTTGCCAATCCATCTAGTGCTGGCCTGTATATCAAGGAGGATGGTACCCTCAGCATCAGGCAGCCAGAGTTCGGGTATGTGTGATTTTGACTGATTCCGAAACTGTAGTTTTAGGAATTCTAAGCATGGCTATTGTGCTTTTACTGTGTTTGCTGAATATCTGTGTAGAACAGGCAAACAAACACAAAATTCAATCATTTAATCTTTCTTTGTTGTTTTTACATTTTTGGTAATAAATCATTTGTCTCCCCTGACGCCTCAGTGAGTTGAGATGTAAGAGAAAGAGTTGGCTGATTACATCAGGTGACCACAGAGGTGGTGCCACAACTGGTTCTGTTGCCCTAAGCTAGAACAGGGCCAAATCAGCCAGGATTCCTGCTTACTGGTGCCCTCAGTCACTCCACGTTATTGGTTGTGCACAAATGTTGGCTGAGATCTTGCATTCTAACACCCAGTGTCAAACTCAAACATAATGAGGGTTTACAGCCCACCACTTTGTTGAGAGATGGGCTGCATTGACTCTCTGGGCTGTCAGGTTGCAGGTTTATTAGCTCTCCCAGATCATACTCTGCATAAAGGGAGCTAAATCGTTGTTCTACTCTAAGACAATCTTGGAGGCTAAGGCTAACCCCAGGTTCCTCTTCTCCATCACGATCGACTCCTCCGTCCACCCTCTCACGCCTCACCCATCCGCACCTCAAATGCTATCTGCGAGGCGAAGCTGGACTTCCTCAAGTGAAGTCGAGGGAATCCGCTCAGCTGCCACTGCATCTGCTAGCCCCTCCCCATCTCCTCTGCCCACCCCGGCCCCTAACCATCCCCCCCTCCACACCTTTGAACCCGTCTCCTCCTCCTCTGTCATCACCACCATAACCCGTATGAAACCCAGCACCTGCTCCCTCGACCCCATCCCTACCCCCCTCCTTACCTCCCAGCTCCACTTCCTTGCCCCTCACTCACTGACATCGGAAACCTCTCCCTGTGTGGTACTGTTCCCACCCCTTTAAAAAAAAAACGCTGTCATCACTCCTGTCCTTATTTAAAAACTCTCCCTGGATCCTTTTCTACTCCCTAACTATCGCCCCATCTCCAACCTCCCTTTCCTCTCCAAGGTCCTGGAATGAAGTGTTGCTTCTCAGCTTCACTCCTTCCTCTCCTGCCACTCCCTTCTCAAACCTTTACAATCGGGCTTCTATGCTTCCCATAGCACAGAAAATGCCCTGGTCGAAGAGACAAATAATATTCTGTCTATCTGTGACCAGGGCTCCCTCTGCCTCCTCATCCTCGTTGACTTTTCTGCTGCTTTTGACACCGCCGACCACTGTACCCTCATCCACCGCCTCTCACCTCAACCTCCACGGCGCTGTCGTGATTGGTTCAGATCGTACCTCTCACACCGCCTGCCCTTCATCTCCTCAAACGGCTTCTCTTCTAGCTCCCGGACCATCCTATGCGGCGTTCCTCAGGGCTCTGTCCTTGGTCCCCTCCTCTTCAACATCTATATGCTCCCTCTTGGTGACATCATCCGCAGACATGGGGTCAACTTCCACATGTATGTGTATGACACCCAACATAACCTCTCCTCCTCCACCCTTGACTCCAGGACCCACTGCTGTGCTGACAGTATGTCAGACATCAACAATAACAAGATTACATTTGTATAGCGCCTTTCATGTCAGGAGGATGTCCCAAGGCGCTGGACAGCATTTCAGACCTGAGCTGGGATAAGTGGGGGGGAAGGGAGGGGAGGGGAAGAGGGGTGGTCGATGGCATGGTCGAAGAGGAGGGACTTGAGGTCCGGGCTGATAGCTAACTTTCTTCAGTTGAACATCAACAAGGCTCTCCTGATTGGCTCCCGTCAGTGCCTCCACACCTCAGGCGTTGACAGCATCACCATCCATGGTTGCACACTCCACCTTGCTAAGCCAGTCCGGAACCTTGGGGTCTTGTTTGACCCTCAACTATCCTTTCTGCCCCATATCTGTGCCATGACCTGCTCTGCCTTCCCCCACCTCTGCAATGTCGCCTGGCTCCGCCACTGTCTCACACCGATGGCCGCCGAAATCCTCATACACGCCTTCATTACATCGAGGCTCAACTATGCAAACTCACTGCTTGTCGGCCTCCCCAACTCCTCCGCCCACAGGCTGCAGATCATCCAGAACTCTGCAGCCCGTGTCCTCTCCCGCACCAGGTTCCGCGACCCTATCACACCCATCCTCGCCCAACTCCACTGGCTTCCCATCACACAGAGGATACAGTTCAAGATCCTTGTCCTCACCTTCAAAGCTCTCCATGGTCTTGCTCCCCCCTATCTCTCTGACCTCCTAAGCCCCTACCACCCTGTTCGCTCCCTCCGCTCAGCAGGCTCTGGCCTGCTTCACATCACCCGCCTTGCTCGCCCCACTATCGGTTAGCGGGCCTTCCGGCACTCTGCACCCACCCTCTGGAACTCCATTCTGCAGTCCCTCCGTCTCGGCCTCTCCCTCGCCACCTTCAAGACCCACCGCAAGACTCCTCTTTGGCCGTGTTTTTGATCTCCCTGCTTTCTCCCCACCCCGACCCTCAGCTTGGGTGTGTACCTCTGTCTGTCCAGCACCTTGGGACGTCCTCCCAACGTGAAAGGCTCTATAATTTTGTTGTTGTTGTTTGACATTTTAGGTTGTTGTTGGATGAGGAGGATGCTGAATTTTTTTAATATAGAATTATTTTCTGGAATGGGGAAATGTTTGGGATTGTAACAAAAAAATTAAGTTCGAACATGCAATGTTGCCCTTGTTGTAAGGTAAGCATTAGCATTTGTAGTGTTAAAAACTACAAGTACAGATCGTAATGTATCCTTTTGTTTTCAGCGTTTGCTCAGGAGATTTAGCTGGAGTTCAGAACCGAGAAGCCATAGAGAATTCAAGGTTGTTGACGAAAGTGGAATCGGATAGTGGAGAAAGCCTGCCTCAGCAGCACAGGACATCTGAAACCACTGCACATTCTCAGCTAAACTTGAACTGCAGCAGTCACAAGGATCATGTATCTGATCTTTCAACTGGTACCATTTCTGTTTCGAGTGACCCAGAGACGATGGCCTTCACTGCAGCTAAAAGTTCATATCTTTCCTCTAATCGAGCAAGCGGCCTTTCTCTAGGCTCAACAAACGCTGCGGACATATTTAACTCCTTTGTTTACTGGAGGACACCTCTCCCTGATATAAACTTTGACTTGGAGCTGCACCACGCTGCAGTTGAGGACAGACGAGATCAGACCATCTACTCTCGTGCCGGCACTCGTTCTGAAGGCTTCACAACTAGCAGTGACCTTGAGAGAGTGTTGGAGAGCTTACAGGCTCACTTGGATGATCCTGATGTCCAAGGTAGGCTTGGTATTTTAGCTGAGGAATTAGTGACTTCCTTTAGCTGAGGAAGCTGATTGCAATGTTTTCAGAACCAACGCCGTTTGAAGTTGCTAACTGATTCTCTGTGTTCTCATGAAGTCTTGTCTAAAGTGTGCTGCAGTTTTCAAACATTAACTGTAGTAATAGGATAACTATTAGGATGAGTTAATTTTCTCCTAATGTTTGTGTGTGTGTTTAGAGGCTGAACTAACTTAGTGGAGTCCTGTAGTGCAGTGGTTAGCAAGCTCGCCTTGCAAGTGAGAGGACCTAGGTTCCATTCCCAGGCAGATCAGAACCTTAAGCAAGCTTCCTTGCTCCACACGCCTCTGATTACTTAGCAAAGTAGCAACACTTCCTTGTCAGAACCTAGTTTGCAGCAATCCAAGGCAAATCTAACTTCCAACACTGTGCTCCAGTGGCCTATTGGATAGGGTGGCTTCTGGTTGTGCAGGTACCATTTTTCAAAAGCTGCTTCAATTCTACTTGAAATCTGTGGAGATTTTTTTTGCCATTACTTGCCTTCCTCCTTTTCCAAAGGTGCTGACACTTAGCTGGGTTATGATCTGTAAATAGCCCAATTCTTCCTAACTGAGCCTTGACAGTCATTGTCGGTAGCCGTGCATTCACACGGGGTCACTAGTTAATGATCAAGATTGAGAACTTTCCGTGGCTGATGTTTAGTTTCTCTCTTTCTGAGGCCGGGGTACTGAGATACATCACACTACTTCTACTATTCCCCTGCCTGAGATTGAACTTCCGGTCTGTGCACTGTGCAGGGGGGGAGGGGGCAACTAAACTGTTGAATTTGTGTTGAGTGCTTTGTTCTCTCCCCCAACCCGCACACGCTGATTTTATGTTCTCCTCCCCACCCCCCAAAATATTGGTGGTTGAACCTTGCTTCATGTTCAAGTTCTCCCCCCAAAAAACTATTTCATCTCCTTCACCTATCATTAAAACCCTCTTAAAAGCAACTCTATTGGTGCCTATTTTCTGTTCTCTCCTTCCAGTTCAGACTTTCCTATCATTTGTAAAGTGCTAAATGAAAGTTGTTAGATCGTTCTGAGTGACCTAGACACTAATTCTCTTATGTTGCAGCACAAGTCCAGGTGTTGACTGCTGCACTGCGTGCTGCACAGCTGGATTCTGACCCAGAGGAAGAGCCTTGCACTGATACTGAGAGTGCTAGCAACATACTGACACAGCCTGAAATTGCCCAGCTAATAGCTTCTACAGATGGCCCTGACTGCATCAGCAATGATGTGCCAGAGAGTTTGGACCCAGCAGCTGAAGTCACCTTGGAAGCAGGCAAACACTCGGAGTGTTTGGAACTTAATGTGGATGAACATAATATGGTACGTTTGGTGTCTTCAGACTGGTTGGTTTAGTGACTATGTAACAGTGGGAGAATTGAATTTAATGTTTCTTTGTCTAGACTCCCTTGTATCCAAATAATGTGAGGCAGCAATAAACAAGCAAATAGCATGCTGATCTACCTCGCCAACTCAGTTTGGTTTGAGCTTTAAAGTGTTCTGCTTGGAGCACTGGACATGCCGGGGTGCTTTGTGCATCTTTTGGGAATCTTTTATAGAGATATTCATCTTTCAAGTTTAAGACCATATTGTAACTTATTCACTTTGTGCAAGAGTTGAACTTGGATCAAGTTTATTGTGCTGTTGTGTTCCAATTCTTTTTATTCTGTTGTAATCTCAAGTCATTCTTGAGATTCATCACTACATGTCACAAACAGACTCTCCAGTGGTGTCAGTGGTGCTTAGTAATGAGTTTGATTAAACCCTGGCGGTAGGTAGAACTGGTCCTGTTCCTGTGCTGCACATGTTGCATTTCAGAAGCATATCTTTGTATCATGATCACTTCCTTTTTCTAGAGTTTTGATAGCCAGCTGTGTTCCGATGGCAGAACTGCAGAGCTGGGCCAGGAGGACAGTCTGCTGTTTGATGAAGATCAATCAAAACTACAGGTTAGTTCCCATTTCTAAAAAAATAAGTGCTGCTCATAATAGAACTAGCAGGGACTCTGAGACACTACCCCCAGTGAAGGACGCTGTATAAAATGCAAATTGTTGTTTGGTGGCAAAGCAGGACTCAGGGCTCAGCATACGCACAGACTAGCTAATAACTCATCAGAGTATAAAATGAGCCTGCTGAGCGGAGGGAGCAGACAAGTTGATAAGGGGTTAGCAGCTCAGAGAGGTAGGATGGGGCAAGGCCAGGAAGGGCCTTGAAGGTGAGGACGAGAATTTTAAACTTGATCCTTTGAGGGATGTGGAGCTGGACGAAGGTGGGTGTGATGGGGTCACAGAGCCCAGTGCGGGAGAGGACGTGAGCTGCAGAGTTCTGGATGATCTGCAGCTTGTGGAGGGAAGAGTTGGGAAGGCCGATAAGCAGGGTGTTGGCATAGTTGAGCCTGGTTGTAATGAAGGATTGTATGAGGGTTTTGGCGGCCTGAGGGGTGAGGCAGTGGCGGAGTCGGGCAATGTTGCAGAGGTGGTGGAAGGCAGAGTGGGTCATGGCATGGATGTGGGGGAGAAAGGACAATTGAGGGTTGAACAAGATGGCTAAGTTCCTGGCTGGCTTGGTGAGGTGGAGTGTGCATCCATGGATGCTGATGTTGCCAGTGCCTGAGGTGTGGAGGCGCTGGCGCGAGCCAATCAGGAGAGCCTCAGTCTTTCTGACGCTCAACTATAGAAAGTTGGCTATCATCCAGGCAATCTGTCAAGACATCAGTGGTAATTTTGAGGGAAAGATTGGAGGGATGGTGGAGGGGAATGAGCTGGAGGAGTAGGGGGATAGAGCAAGTGAGCACCTGAAGATGAGAGCCACGGCGGTTAGGACGTTGGTTATGGTGGAAGGTATAGGTGGGCTCAATCAGGGGAAGATGTCACCTGGAGTGATGCAGGTTTCAGTGAAGGCATATCAATGTTTCATCAATGGCACAGACACAATGGGCTGAATAGTCTCCTTCTGTGCTGTATAATTCTATGATATTGTAACCTGCCATATTACAGTTTGACAGATATTTTTGATCCCTCAAAGGTAAGATTGGATTCAAGTGAAAGATGATGTTGCTTTAGGGCTGCCCTCTGAGAGAATGGAAGATTTGTAACTCAGAAGATGTTGCAGCACAATACATTAGGATATACAGCACAGAAACAGGCCATTCGGCCCAACTGGTCTATGCCGGTGTTTATGCTCCACATGAGCTGCCTCCTGCCCTTCCTCATCTAAGCCTCGAAGCTTAACCTTCTATTCCTTTCTCACTCATGTACCTATCTAGATTCCCCTTAAATACATTAATGCTATTTGCCTCAACTACTCCCTTGTGGTAGCAAGTTCCACATTCCCACCAATCTCTGGGTTTCTTATTTGATCTATTTGCGACTATTTTATATTGATGGCCCCTGGTTTTGGTCTCCCCCACAAGTGGAAACATCTTCCCTATGTCTACCCTAACAAAACGTTTCATGATTTTAAAGATATCTGTCAGGTCACCCCTTACCCTTCTCTTTTCAAGAGAAAAGTGTCCTAGCATGTTCAGCCTTTCCTGATGGGTATAACCTCTCATTTCTGGGATCATTCTTGTGAATCTCCTTTGCACCCTCTCCAGTGCCTCTACATCCCTTCTATAATGTGGGGACCAGGACTGCACTCAGTATTCTTAGTCTATAGAAGTTTACCATAACTTCCCTGCTTTTCATTTCTATCCCTCTAGAAATGAACCCCAATGCCTGATTGGCCTTTTTTATGGCCTTATTAACCTGCGTTGCTACTTTTAGTGAATTGTGTATGTGAACCCCTAGATCCCTTTGCTCCTCTAACCCATTTAGGTTTTCATTTTCCAGGATATATGTGACTTCCTTATTCTACCAAAATGTACCATCTCACACTTTTCTACATTGAAATGATTTGCCATTCAAATGCCCATTCACCAAGTTTATTAAAGTCTTGCTGTAATTTGTTGCAGTCCTCCTCTGTAATAACTGCTCCTCCCAATTTGGTGTCGTCTGCAAATTCTGAAATTGTACTGCTGATTCCCGAGTCCAAATCATTAATGTATATTGTGAACAACAGTGGTCCCAATACCGATCCTTGCAGTACACCACTGCCCACCCTCTGCCAGTCTGAGTAGCTTCCCTTTATATCCCTACTCTCTGTTTTCTGTTTTGTAGCAGCTTGCTATCCATTCTGCTATTTTTCTCCTGACTCCACATGCTCTGACCTTATTCATTAATCTATTATGTGAAACCTTATCGAACACCTTCTGGATCTAAATTTATTACATCTGCCACATTACCCTTGTCTACTCTTTCTGTTACCCCTTCAAAGAATTCAATGAGGTTGGTCAAGCATGACCTTCCTTTTTGAAATCCGTGCTGACTATTATTTATTATATTTTCCGTTTCTAGATGTTTTTCTATTACCTCCTTCAGTAAGGATTCCATTATCTTTCCTACCACCGATGTTAAGCTGACAGGTCTATAGTTGCCTGGGCTTGTTCTATCTGCCTTTTTAAATATAGGTATAACATTAACCATCCTCCAGTCCTCTGGCCCTACTCCCTTTTCTAATGAGTTATATATGTGTAATAGTGCCTGCTATCTCTCTTCCTCGATTCTTTTAATATAAGTGGATGCAATCCATCTGGACCAGGGGTTTTATCCTCTCCGAGTTTCGTTAGTTTTTCGATTATATCTCCCCTTTGCATCTTAAATGTATTTATATTATTTTTGATCTCTTCTACTGTCATGTCCACCTGATCCATCTCCCTGGTGAATATTGAGGCAAAGTAATTATTTAATATTTCTGACATTTCGCTGTCGCGGCCTGTGAGCTTATATTGTCCATCCCTTAGTGGCCCTATTCCTACTTTGATTTTTCTTTTGTTATTTATGTCTGTAGAATATTTTACTATTTCTTTTTATATTTCTTGATAATTTAATTTCATAACTTCTCTTTGCCTTCCTAAATGTTTTTTTTGCCTGTTTTCCTGACCTCTTCGTATTCTTTTTAGTGAACGCCTCTTTCCTGAGTCTCAACTTTGCCCTTATGTCATTATTCATCCATAGTGTCATTATTATTTAGCTTTGTCTTGCTTTTTAGCAGAATATATTTCTCCTGGACTCTATTAATGACTGTTTTAAATGTTTCCCACTGCTGCTCTATCTCTTTGGTTGCCACTATTGTTTTCCAGTTTATTTTCCCAATTTCCAGTCTCATCCCTTTAAAATCAGCTGTTTTCCAATCTATTACCCTGGTCTTTGTCATATCGATGTCCTTCTCAATCATTATCTTAAACCTCATTAAGCTATGATCGCTATTGCCTAGATGTTCCCCTACTTTTAGTTTTCTTATCTGCTCTGATTCATTTCCCATTACTAAATCCAGCAGGGATTTCCCCCTTGTTGGGCCGCTTATATACTGGGTAAGAAAGGAGTCCTGTACACATTGAAGGAACTCCATTTCCTTATCCCCTTTACCTACCTCTTCTAGACAATTTATTTGGGGGTAGTTGAAATTCCCCCATGATTATTACTCTGTCTTTTACTAATTTCCCTAATTTGCTTGCATATTTCTTTCTCTACCTCCCTTCCACTATTAGGTGGTCTGTAGAGTACCCCTATTTGTGTGATTGATCCCTTATTTTTTATCTCTATCCACACAGATTGTTTCTATCTTACTGATGGCTATGTCCTTTTTTTTTACTGCCATGATATTATCCTTAACGAGTACAGCTATTCCACTGCCCATCTCTATCCTTTCTGAATGCATTATACCCTGCAATGTTTAATTGCCATCCAGTTCTTTCTGTAGCCACGTTTCAGTAATCCCAATTATATCTGGTTCCTCACTACGAATTATTGTTTCCAGTTCTCTTGCTTTATTTTGGATGCTGTGTACATATCGGTACAGACATAACAATTCATTATTATTAATTGTTCCTCATTTTATTTTTGACAGTCTTTTCACACTTCTATTCTACAATTGTATTAATTCCCTGACCATTTATACTCTCCTTATCATAGTGAAATGTAGAGTCTCTGTTGTATGGTCTTGCTAAGTGTGGTCACCACGCAATCTTCTGTCATTTGATTTATCACCGCATTACTCTCTCTCCTCCAGGATGTTATTCCCCAGCCACTGTTGGACCAGTACCTGTCTATGACTGACCCGTCCCGTGCCCAAACCGTGGACACCGAAATTACAAAGCACTGTGCATACAGCCTCCCTGGCGTGGCTCTGACTCTCGGCAGACAGAACTGGCATTGCTTAAAGAATACCTATGAAATGCTGGCATCTGACGTACAGGTGGGTGGTGCAACACAGACCTAGAGGGTGTAATTGACAGAGTGTTGTGTTTTCTGATCCCAGCATTTCTTCTTATAGTGGAAAGTGCGCCGCACGTTGGCTTTCTCCATACACGAGCTGGCAGCAATCCTTGGGGATCAGCTCACTGCAGCTGATCTGGTTCCCATCTTCAACGGGTTTTTAAAGGATCTCGACGAGGTGCGCATTGGAGTACTGAAGCATCTGTATGATTTTTTGAAGGTAAAAACCTGTAGCAAACTGAGCAGCTTCTGTAATATGAGAGAATGTAATATTTTGACTATTATCCTATTTGAACAGCAACAAGATTACATTTGTATAGCCCCTTTCACGTCGGGAGGATGTCCCAATGTGCTGGACAGTGTACACCATTTCAGACCCGAGCTGGGGTCAAGGGGGGAGGGGAAGGGGAGTGATTGAGTAAGGCTTTAGGAATGATTCAGAATTTGTTTTAAGTTTAGATGTTGAATTCTGTATTGGTTTAATTTTAGCAATTTGTATATATTAATTGTATAATCGTTTGTGCTCTCTCTCTTTCTTTACCCCTCACTCCCTGCTCTGTATCTCTCTTTGTTTCTCTTATATCCAAGTCTTTAGATAAATAAAAATTGTAGCTTCTTGTAGTCGATTGGGTCAGTAGGCCTCGGGTCTGGTCTGTTTCCCTTAATTCTTGCAGTCACCTGAGTTCTGTCCTACATTTCTTCCCTCCCCTTCAACTGTGGTCACAAAGCTGGAAAATGTTCATGTTTGAGAAGAAAGCCGATAGCTGTTCTGTGGCTTGAGATGTGTTAGTAATCAGCAATCTATAAAAATAATAATAGTAATCCTTGCAATTGATATGGCGCCATAATCATGTCTTCGAGATGTCTCAAAGCGCTTCACAGAATATACTGTAAAGTGAATTAACTGTATATTTTGTGGGTGAAACTAGGCTGTTAGTTTAGCACACACAGGCCTGGCTTCATGAACATCAACATTCAGACTAGCAGCAGGGTGCATGAATCATAGAATTATACAGCACAGAAGAAGGCCACTTGGCCCATCATGTCTGTGCCAGCTCTTTGAAAAGAGCTATCCAAATCAATCCCATTCCCCCGCTCTCTTCCCTTAGCCCTGCAAACTTGTCCTCCCAAATAATTATCTACTTCTCTCTTAAAAGTTATCGAATCGGCTTCCACCGCCCTTTCAGGCAATGCATTCCAGATCCGAACAATTCGCTGTGTGAAAACAATTCTCTTCCCCTCTGTTTCTTTTAACAACTATTTTAGATTGGTGTCCTTGGGTTACTGACCCACCCGCCAGTGGAAATAGTTTCTCCTTGTTCACCCTATCGAACCCTTCATGATTTTGAAAACTTCTTTTAAGTTTCCTCTTAACTTTCTCTGCTCCAAGGAGAATAATCCCGGCTTCTCTCGCCTCTCCTGATGACTGAAGTCCCTCGTTCCTGGTACCATCCTGGTAAATCTCCTTTGCACCCTCTCCAGTGCCTTGACATCCTTCCTAAAGTGTGGTGCCCAGAACTGAACAGTCTCCAGCTGAGGCCTAACCAGTGTTTTACAACGGTTCATCGTAACTTCTTGACTTTTGGATTCTATGCCCCAACTTTAAAGCCTAGTATCCCATAAGCTTTTTTTTAACAGCTTTATCTCCCTGTCCTGCCACCTTCAAAGATTTACTTATATGAACCCTCAGGTCTCTCTGTTCTTTCACCCCCTTTAAGATTGTACCATCAGCTTATATTGTGTCTCCTCATTCTTCCTCACAAAATGCATCACTTCACATTTCTCCACGTTAAACTTCATCTGCCACTTATCTGCCCATTTTACCAGTCTGTCTATGTCCATTTGCAGTCTGCTGCTATCCTCCTCACTGTTTACAATTCCTAGCTTAGTATCATCTGCAAACTTGGAAATTGTACTCCCTGTACCCAAGTCCAGGTCATTTATGTAGATCAAAAACAGCAGTGGTTCCAATACTGACCCCTGGGGGACACCACAGCACACTTCCCTCCAGTCAGAAAACAACTGTATTTTGTACATATGTTATTTTATGACTTGCAGGTACACTGAGTGCACCAAAAATAATGCAGCTGGGCTAATCCAACTTAGTTTTGCATGGAGTCTATTTCAGTGCACGAGATTGGACCAGCACAGACAGCCACACAGCAACTCCCGTTTGTTTTTGTTTACAGCTGCTTCCTGTGGATAAGAGACGGGAATACCTGTTCCAGCTGCAGGAATTCATGGTGATGGACAACAGTCGAAACTGGCGGTTCAGATACGAGCTTGCAGAGTATGTTTGGCATGTGTTTGGTCAACCATGAGATTCTTGTGCAATAGTTGATTTTAAAAGTAATTGGCATTAAATCAGTGAGCATATTCAATATATTGGCTGGCAAAATTGCACCTTAATAGTATAATAATAATCCTTGCAATTGATATAACACCTGATCACCTCTTCAAGATGTCTCAAAGCGCTTCACAGATGATACTGTAAAGTGAATTGACTGTATATTTTAATAGGTTCAATGCAAAAGCATTGGACTGTACAGGCAAGGAGATGCTTATTCTCAACCTCATCCACACACTGTAGGATTCACACTAGCACTCGAACCGTGTGAGTTCTCTTTAAGAGATTTCCTTCCCTTTTTTAAAACTTAACATTCTGATAATGCATCCACAACCTTCTTCTATACCAGCGCCCCCACCCCAATCACTAGCCTTGGTATGGATGGTATGGTATCAGTGAGTGGCACAATTATGGATCAGAGCTCTGGAGCCGGGGAGACTGATGAATGCATTGGAAATATCAAGGTGGGAGGTGACAAAAGCATGAATGAGGGCGTCAGCAATGCTGATAAGGCCAAGATGAAGGAAAGCAGTCCAGGTCAGGCACTGGGTGTGGGATTGGAAGGGGCAACTGAGTATTGAACATGATGCCAAGGCTGTGTACAGGTTCGGTGACTTGGAGCGATAGGCAGGGAAGGTTAAAGAATTCAGATGCAGATGAGAAGATGTTGGTGGGAGACGAGGACAATTGCTTTCATCTTGTCCATATCCCTGCAGCAGAAAGTTGGCACTTATCCAGGCCTTGATGTCAGACAAGCAGGCAGTCAGAACATTGGTAGGACTGGGGTCATGATTAGAGGAGGAAAAATAGATTCAGGTATCATCCATACACATATGGAAGTTGACTGAGAACATTTAAATGAGAAAAAAGAGGGGGGGAGAATTTTATTTATACAGATGAAAATTCTGTAGGAATTTCCTCACTCGTCACTGTGTGCGATTGCAAATCTATGTACCATTGGCAAGTTGACTGTCAACAAAGATGTGTACAAAATATGGGATTTAATTAAACCAATAGACATGCACCTTGTTGAAAGAAAACCTTAACGCTCGTTTTAAATCTTTTCAGACAATTGATTCTGCTGCTGGAACTCTACAGCCCCAATGACGTGTGTGACTATTTGCGACACATTGCTCTCACTCTCTGCTCTGACAAGGTTGCTGAAGTTCGGTGGATCTCATTCAAACTGGTACGAGTGAGACACATGTTGCATTTCAAACTGCTGTTTCAACTTTGATCAGCTGAATGTTTTTGTTTGGAAGGTGGGGGGTGGCCTTTGGGGTTCTGAACTTCTCTATTATACCCTAAAGGTTGCATCTGGTTTGCTCCATCAGTCATAGCAAGTTTACATTTCCTGTTGTTGGGAGTGGTTCCCTCCTGACTGTCCACACCATGCAGTGTGCTGCTGAACCAGTGGAGGTCTGTAATGAGCAAAATGTCAGGACTAGAAAATAAACTCTTCTGGATTTTTTAATTCCATTTTAGGCCCCTGATACACCAACTCTTTCTACACCAGTCATCCTTACAGTCTGAGTTATGTGGTTAAATATCAGGCAGTTTATAGCATGGAGCTGACGCTCACACGCACTGACAACCGTCAACATCAAATTTCAAATGGCCTTGACAGTGTCCAAGAGGAGACTTTTACTCCCATCAATTTGAATTAAATTCAGAGCAAATTACAAGAATGAATTACATATTAATTAATGCATTAGATGCCAGGGACCAGGTTTGCAGGAATCTGGTTTCAGAGAGTATATGAATAATGTAATGATTCAAATTGATGCACAATCAACTGCATTTCTTTAAGTAAACTAATCTGGGTACTCAGTGGAGTGTCTGTGAAGAGAATGGAAACTCACTTGCTGACGTTAGTAAAGTGCAGTTATTCATTGGATTTTGATGCTAAGGTTTACCTCTGCAATATGTTACAGAATACATTCAGTTTCTTGCAGCTTATTCTAGCTGACTGCTGGCTTTGTGCAGTTACTAACTGGCCTTTTGCTGCGCAGGTGGTGGAGATCCTAAGGAAGTTCTATGCCACTAGTGCTAACTCCTTAGCACTGAATTTCATGAACGAACTGACGGTTAGATTCTGCCACTGCCCCAAATGGATAGGTCGTCAAGCATTTGCATTCATCTGTCAGGTCAGTGAGCGATCGCCTGCATGGTTTTGTCTTCACTTCTAATGTTCCCTTTCTCTGACTTCTTCTCAGATCATTACATTTGTATAGCACCTTTCACATTGGAAGGACGTCCCAAGGCACTGAAACTACTGTACCTCTGCACAATCCTTCCAATGCTAACTTACCTACTGAGACCAGTCATTGCATTTGTAAACTATTGTTGCTCGGAGCAGGTCTTAAAATGGCTTCAGATGTTTTGCTGAGTATAGCGAATAGTCTGAGGGTTCTGGTTTATCTATCATCTTCCCATGTTTGCTAATCTCTTGCAGGTGTTGCTCTGAATGCATTCCCCTCCCACATTTTTGTATTGGCTTGCACTGAATCAATGCGTGTGTGGTCCACAATGATTCCCACCACTATGTTTTGGCAGAGTCTTTTCAGCACACATTTGCCCTAAGTTCTGTGATCTTTCAAACCATGGTCTGATTGGTTCTCTCCAGGAACTATTCCGGCCTGGATTTCAACCTATTTACCCTGCTTACATTCTGTGTGAGGATTGGGACAGGCATTGCCAAGGGAGGTGTTTTGTGTGTTAGTTTAGGAGCATTTTAAAATCTGAGATACTTATGAAATTGCTGTGTGTCAGGCTAGCTCAGTTGCTAAGACTCATGCCTCAGAAGGTTGTTCTGGGTTCAAGCTACATGTTGGGACTTCCCTTAACAGTATACAACAACAAAATTACATTTGTATAGTGCCTTTCACATCATGAGGATGTCTGTCTTTCGGACCCAAGCTAAGGGTCAGGATCGGAGAGGTGGAGGGCTGGGGGGGAAAGAGGGCGACCGAAGGCACAGTTGAGGAGGATCTTGAAAGAGGCAAGGGAGGGGGCAAGGCTAGGGGATTGCAAGATGGAGTTCCAGAAGATGGGGGCAGAGTGGCAGAATGGTGGGGCAGGCGAAGTGGGGGACGTGAAACAGGCTGGAGCTGGCTGAGCGGAGGAAGCTGGCAGGTTGGTAGGGGGTTAGAAGGTTGCAGATGTAGGGGAGAGCAAGACCATGGAGGGCTTTGAAGTTGAGGACTGGGATCTTGAACTGTATCCTCTGTGTGATGGGAAGCCAGTGGAGTAGGACGAGGAAGGGGATGATAGGGTCGCGGAGTCTGGTGCGGGAGAAGACGCATACTGCAGAGTTCTGGATGATCTGCAGCTTGTGGAGGGAGGAGTTGGGGAAGCTGACAAACCGAGAGTTTGCGTAGTCGAGCCTGAATGTTATGAATGCATGTATGAGCGTCTCAGCGGCTTGCAGTGTGAGAGTGGCGGAGCCGGGCGATATTGCGGAGGTGGGGGAAAGTAGAGCAGGAAATAGCATGGTTGTGGAGTAGAGAGGATAGTTGAGGGTCAAACAAGACGCCAAGATGCCTGACCGGCTTAGTAAGGTGGATGTAATGTTAGTTAATCAATTAGTTAATTACTGTACTGTAATGTTGTCCTGGTGTGAAGAGTGACCAAATGTATTAATAATCCTTGCATTTGACATAGTGCATTTGATTTATCACGTTGTTGAGACATCTCAAAAGCGCTTCACAGAATATATTGTAAAGTAGATTGACTGTATATTTTGTGGTTGAACCGCGGCAGCCAATTGCGCACTGCAGTGTCCCACAAACAATTGTTTTGTGTGCGGTTTGTGCGTGTTTTTTGTGTGTGGGTGTGGTTTATGTGGTATACTGTACCTGACCTGAGAGTGCTCTGTGAGACCGTGCAGAGGGATCTTTAATGTGTTTCTAACCCAGACTGTACCTGACCTGAGAGGTGACACATTGTGCAATGTCTGTGGTTCCACAATATCAGTGCAGATATTCACCAGCAGGTGATGCTCTGTACATGAGGAACAGAATCATTTACAGTTTTCTGATCTTGATGAGATTTTGTCCTACTCCTTCATTGGGCACTTGCTATATTATAAATTGAGATCCTGGTCTCCAGGAAGGTGCCAAGAAATCACAAAACATTACCATTTGGTTCTAGAGGAGGAGTAGTTCAGTGGTTAGAACACTCGCCTCGCAAGTGAGAGACCTGGGTTCTCTTCCCGGCAAGGCGAAATGTTGGGCAAGTTTCCTTACTCCACTTACTTACTGTTTACCTAGCAGTAAGTAGGAACCCGGTTGTTATTTAATTGGTGGATTGCTTTTCCGAGGATAATAATCATTAAAATAAAAAAATTTGGTCACTCGGTCCATGACTGTTGTGGGAGACTGCTGTGCGCAATTGGCTGCCCTGTTTCACCCACAAATATACAGTCAATTCACCTTACAGTGAAGCGCTTTGAGACGCCCAGAAGACGTAAAAACCGCTATATCAAATGCAAGGATTATTATTATTACAGAAAATTGTCAGTGGGTTAAGGCAGTCTTATGTGCACATCTTCCAGTGAGGTTAAAGAGGAGCAAAAAGTACATCATGGTGTTCAAAATGTTTACAGTTACTTGCACTGTGTGCCATGGTTAAAAGCAGTCAACTGATGTGCTAGAATAGGATGATGCAGAGAAAGCCCTAACTCTGGTTTCTGCTCAGGCAATCGTGGAGGAGGAGTGCGTCCCAGTGGATCAGTTCATTGAACACCTGCTTCCCAGTCTCCTCAGTTTATCCACAGATCCTGTGCCCAATGTGAGGGTGTTACTTGCCAAAGCCCTGAGGCACACACTGCTAGAGAAAGGTAAGCCAGCAGGCAACAAGTTGTATTGGTAAACAGCAACTAACTTTGCAGAGTCCTGTAGATTAGTTATTTCCACATGATATTTAGTGTTGAGCTGCACTATTTTATAGGAAGCATTGGGTCTAATGTAGAGGTGTTGAATATCTCCAGTATCGTGGTGGTTTCACAGCAGTACTGTGCCATGGACAAGAGTAACTTTCTGGTGTCTCACTCAAATAGCCATTATTCACATGTAAACCATCACATTAAATGTCTCAGAACCAATCTGATTCTGTCAAACTCCACACACTTCTTGTATAGTGTTCAGAGCTGTTGTGTTACTTTTTGAGACGTTAAACCGCAGTCTTATTTCCTGTTTAGGAGTATGTTAAAGATCTCCTGACACTACTATAAAAAAATTAAAAACGTAATTTCTCCCAGTGTCCTCACCAACAATTCCCAGATTTAAATTAAAAAAATGTCTTTCACTTCATGGTTGCTTGTGAACATTGCTGTGCACATTTTGGCTGCTGCATTTTGCCTACAAAATAGTAACTACACTTCACAGTAAATCCTGTGAGGTGCTTTGAGGTGGCCTCCTGACTTGAAAACCCTGTATCAAATGCAAGCAACATGTATCTCCACAAATTACAGAAGTGCTGCTAATAATAACCAGCTATTTGATTACAGTCAGCATGACTGATGATTTTTCTCTCTCCAGCATATTTTACAGGTGTCGAGAACGCTCATGTGGAAGCTGTGGAAGAGACCGTTCTGATCCTGCAATCTGACCGAGACCGCGACGTACGCTTTTTCTCCAGCACGGAGATCCGAAATAATCCTCTCAACACAACGAGCTCCTTCATAAACTGAAAACTTCTCAAAAGTCAACCTGTCACTATACTTCCTGCCACGTGTGGTTCTCGACTGGTATGTTGAAGTGAAGCCGTGTCCCGATGAATGAACCTGGAGGCAAACCTTTTAAGTGGACGTGACCTTGATCTGCAGGCTGGATCTGGACTGGAGGAGGCAAATGCAGGACCTTTGTTACATATGTGCATAGATCTGCAACAGAGCTTTTTATAAATGGAGGAACGAATGGTCCTGTAAGAGCTGGTGAGAGTTCTTCACCACAGCCTTACCTATCTGTCATTTCTGAACAATATCAATACTTTGAAACAAAAACAAATGGGGGGGGGGTGGGGGGGAAACTCTTTTTAATCACACTCAGATTGCTAACCAGACCTTTCAAGCACTAACTGGGTTCTATTTTTAAGTAAACTTTCTAATTTGAAAAGAGTTATGCCTGTAGTTTTTTTTAAAAAAAACAGCACTCCTTACCTTTCTAGTTCTGTACAAATTTCTTTGTATTACATTTTTCAGTCATTGTGTGCAGAGGAAAATGTGCACAGACTGTTTTGTAAAGTCTTCAGAAATGTAGAAATGTGATTTTTAAGATGGTGGTTCACATTTTAGAAACTTCAACTACAAAAATCTTTCTCTCTCCTTCGCTCTCTTTCTTTCTCTCTCTCTCTCCCCCCAACCCCAAATGTTTTTTTCCCCCAATTGTGTTTTCAATGCAGCCCAGGATATGTTTCTTGGGCTTGGTGTTTGGAAATGGCTGAGAGTCTGTCTTGAACTAGGCACTGGTTGGGAGAGCTGGTACAAAGTACCATATTTCATTTGTGAAACTGAGCCAGGTTAGTTGCAGGAAACCTAACCAGCGAGCAGCCAATGGAGCAATTAGGCTCAGCCTAGCTCTGCAATTCATGGCTGCTGAATGCAACTTCACACACCACTGATTGGAAATAGTAGGAAAAGCTTCATCACAAAGAGTGGGACACAGTGAATGTGAGGCAGAATGAATTTTTTATGATTTTTTAAAAAAAAATGTTAAGTTTCTGTTTTTGAAACAGCTGCTACGGGTTTCACTTCTGTACAGTCTGTACAAAGGGCTCGGTAATGGGCTTCTAATGGAATGGATGTGTTTTATCTCCACTTAGCTATCTGGTCCATTGCTCATCCTGCAAAGCAATTGGGATCTGAGGTTAGGCCCACATTGGTGCTGTTCACATTGCACATTATTTAGCGACATCCAAACCCCTGATCTGAAAGCTGCATATGCTGTGTTTATCTTTGTTACACCTTTGTACAGCGGAAAAGGGGCAGGGGAGTTACAACTTAATACAATGCAGTGGCAATGAATGGGTTAAGTCTGCCGAAACTGGCTGGACTACCCAGTGGCTGTGGTTCCCAGACTGATTTTGCTCTTCAAGCAAATCGGAAACTGACACAGTGGAAATTGGCTACTGAGCCTGGGTTCCAGTGCCCTGTGAATGGGTTCTTAGGTCAGCACAAAGGAGGCTTTGATTCCACAAATGTTGTCTGATAAATGTAATTTTGACATCGCCTCCTTCGTGGCGTGTGGGAGACAAACAAACTGCATCAGGAAATAACGCCTTTGCACATCCCTCGTTTTGATGCAGACTTGTACTTCCAAGCGTGTGTGTGTATTTTTTTTAATGGTGTATAAGAATGAGGTTTTTGTATAGCGTAAAGGCTGATTTTATTGTAACTTCAGTTACAAGTTTGAGTTTTTACAATTAGCATTAAATACTGTGGTGCTGTATTCTGCTGTGTGCTCTTCCACTTGTGGTTTCATTTGAGCAGCCAGGATGGGCTGAGTATGCATTTGAAGAACTTTGTAAACCAGGAAAAAATTCATATAATTGCCTTGAATTCACCTTCCCAATTTTCTTTTTAAAGAGGACAATTTACAGGGAGACTATAAAAGGCTATTCCCTATCCTCTACTAACAATACAATGGGTTTTCCTGTACAGCTTTGTGTTAACTTTCTGGTCTCTCAGTTGCTTTCCCAAACTTTCTCAAATTGATCTAGGATTTAAGCACCTATTTACCTTCCAAACTGTCTGAGGTGACCACTTTGGTTTATTAAGATTATGTCTGACTAGGTGGTACTTTAATCCAAAGCCAACTCTTTTTATTACAGGTGAGTGGGGTCGCCTGGGGACTGAATTCTCAGAGAGAAGCCTTGTTGGTAAAGCAGAGAGACCGACCAGGCAAGGCCACTCTCTTGAAAGTGTTGACATACTAAAACCCTGTCTGTTGAATTCTTAGCTGAAGGTGTTCTGTGCTGTTAGCAAAACCATGAAGGAAGGTCACTATAGTCACCGTCAAAGTAGACGGTCTTCAGATGCAATCGATGGGCTGGGAAGGGGTTCTGAGGGATTGAGGCAGAGTTCCAATGTTACAGGAAGTAATGGTTGAAAGATGGCCGATGATGGTGGAGGGGATGAGGGCCACGCAGAAGGATATTTTTCCCTGAGTCCTCTTATAAACCTATCAAAATGGATTGCATGCTCTGACTGAAGAGAGTATAAACATCAACAGAACCCACCCGGATTAGATTCCAAACTGTAATTTACTCGCAGGGATCTGTTATTCCATACAGAAAAAAAAATGCCCAAATCTCTGAAGCAGATTGAAGCCAGTAATTCTTCCCCATTATTTTACATATAAACTCTGGTCTCAGTGTAGTGTCTCCTTGGCAACCAATAATGGGTCCTTAGATCTGAAGATTCCACAAGAGGGTAAATTCTAACCAAATAGAGTTCATTCACTTCAAAGATTCAAGGACCGCAAGTTAATTAAAGCTTTGAAGAAACCTGTGCGAGGCTGGTAGAGTGGGGATCAGGTTAAACTTGATGACTAGCTACCAATTGCAAGCAGCTATTTAACTGCTTGGATTCATTAAATGGGATGAGAAAATACAAGTCACCAGAACTACCACCAATACTTGGCAAAGTGCTTTTTGTTATCTCTTTTTAACTTGTATTCAAAGGCTCTCATAAGCCGACTGAGCCTCATCTGATCTGGAACTGTGTCCTCTTAGGTTTCCAACTTCCAGCACTCAACAGGGTTTGTACCTGGCAGTCTTTAATTCCTTTTCTCTGCTTGTTCTTTTATTTCCTGTCTGTGTCTGCTTGTCTGTCCCTCCTTTTTAAGCACTGCAATTGATTCTTTATGGCCTTCTGGGGCAGTGTGTTCCACATATTCACAACCCTCGGTGTGAAGAAATATTTTCTGATCTCACTTCTAACTGGTTTAAGATTATGTCTCCTTGTTTTGCATCTCTCTGCCACAGAGAAGAGTCAGCCACTACTGAACTCCTCAATTCTCTTTCTTATTTTAAACACATCAATTCCATCACCCCTTAACCTGCTCCACTCTTAAGGAATATAATACTCCTGGTCAGTCTCTTGTTCCAGTCTCCCAAACGGAAGTGAGCCGTCACTGCCTGGGAGCGGCAGGGGCAGAGTGTTACTAGGGAAGCCAAGTCTGTCTCCAAGGGACTACAAACAATCCCAAGTCAATGCAGCCTGGTCACCAACAGCTTGCCTCTTGGTCACACACAAATGAACAGATTTATATCAGTATCTTTTTGTTTCCTTTGTCTAGCGTTCGGCACTTAAACCCTATATAACAATCTTTGCCTCTGAGTGCCTCCTCAGCTTTGCTCTGGGTCTGACCCAAGCCTGTTGTCACAAGATCGAGGCCTGATGTCTGGTTGTAAGAAAAAGCCCTGTTCCCAGCTAACCCCCAAGGAGCTCGCTGAGGCCGAAAATCGCACCTGTCCCAAACTGAAAAAGGCCTACAATCTCAAGGTGAGACTGCAGAGCACAGGCGAGCTGTTCTGGGTTAAAGACTCCTCTGACGTGATGACGATTACGGAGATGAAATCCAAGCTGGAACTCGTGGCCGGTGTTCCCAGAAAGTTACAGAGACTCACTTACCTGGATGAAGGTAAGTGAATACATAATATAGCGGAGACAATTCTAAACTAACAGTAGTTATTAATAATAATAATCCTTGCATTTGATATAGTGCCTTATCACGTTATTGAAGTCTCAGAGTGCATTCACAGAATATACTGTAAAGTGAATTGGTTGTACATTTTGTGGACAAAACTATAGTAATATTTCTCTCTCCCTCCCCCCACATCCTTATTTATATTAACCTTCCCTCTGACGACCTTTGTTCTAGTATTTTGCCCAAGTCACCACTTTGTAATGTGAGAGGCAGAAAGCAGTTGGCGTATATGAGAGAGTTATGGCCACATCGTATCCAATCTTGAGGTTTGTATTTTCCACTTTCATGGACCTGGACTGATTTTTTTCTCCCCAGCCCAGGGACGCTGAGGCTAATTTTACCTCTTCCCCCTCTCCGCCCCCAACCGCTACTACAGCTGAGACGGGCTCGCTCGATACAGACCAGAGATTGAACCAGAAAAATATTGTTAGATTGGATCGTGGCTGTATGGAGGGGGTCTGGGGGGAAAACTCCTATGAACTAGTCACCTTGTCTTTTCAATAACCAGTGATTCAATACAATATCTTTTGACTGGAGAACAGTGATAAATGACATTATTTTATTCTTGAAAAATGAGTCAAAATCCAAAATTACAGCCTAGTTCATTCCACCACTGCCATGTAATGGCCACTACTGGTAGGACCACTGTCCTCACCTAGTACTGAATCTGAGACTTTGCTGATCTGCAGAGCTCAGTGCTTCACATTTTAGTGACTACTGGTAGGACCACTGTCCTCACCTAGTATTGAATCTGAGACTTTGCTGATCTGCAGAGCTCAGTGCTTCACATTTTAGTGATTTCACAACTGAGCTATGGATGGGGGGTATGGAGGGGAGTTTTCTGACACTATAATTCATTTTTGATTCTGCAACAGATAATAATAAACACAACAAAAATAATTTGGTCACTCAATCCATGACTTTTTGTGGGACACTGCTGTGCGCAATTGACTGCCACGTTTCACCCACAAAATATAGTCACTCCACTTTACAGTATATTGTGTGAAGTGCTTTGAGACATTTCAAAGATGTGATGAGGTGCTGTATAAAATGCTAGAATTATTATTATTGTTGTAGATGACAGACAATGAAAAGGGAGCACTCACAAGCTTCTAACCCACTAGCTAGCTATTGAGTCAAGCTGCCACCTGAGGAGTGTAAGGGGGAGTGTGAGAAGATTGTGGTTCTGTTGCTCGCAAATGATCGTAGCTGAAATACAGAGGATCTGCAGAGCGAGTCCAGTGTCTCCAGTTCTCTATTATTTCGCATCAGCCCCAGGAATGAATGGCTGTGTTTGGTTGCAGGGGATTTACCAGACAACACAACACTAGAGTACAATGATGTGGTGCGAAGAGGAACAATCATAATGAAGACCTGGGGACAAGATGGCTGGGACAAAATCCTGACAGCAGCAGCAAAGGGAGCTGTTTCTCAGGTGGTTTTGAATGTTGTGCAGAGTGAAAGGGCAGCTCTGTTCTCTACCTTCAACTTGTTTCTTCTTTACATTTGAGGCCTGAATAGCCTCATTATCCAATTTGCTTTTCACCTCCTCCCCTCCACCTACACCTCGAAAGCAAAGTGAAGCTAAACCTGTACAGATCACTGACTGTAGCTACTTTCTTTTGATGGTGTGTCTATACTTTATTTTCCCTTCACATTTCTGAACCTGTCCAACAACAACAACAAAATTACATTTTTTTACAGCACCTTTCATGTCAGGAGGACATCCCAAGGCGCTGGACAGTGCAAGGTTTGCATCCGAGCTGGGGGTGAGGCTGAGGAGGCTTGGAGGTGGGGGGGCGTGAAGGAAATGGAAGGTGAAAGCTGGCCGAAAGCATGGTCAAAGAGGAAAGACGTCCCAAAAAGTTTCACAGAATATACTGTAAAATGAATTGACCGTATATTTTGTTGGCGAAATGCGCCAGCCAATTGCGCGCAGCAATGTTCTACAGACAGTGACCAAATCATTTTTTTTCTGGAGGGATTAATACCCCTAGAAAGTGATCTGCCAATCGACTTTAAAAAAAAAACGGGTACTCACTGCTGGGTAAACAGAGGAGAAGGAAACTTGCCCAAGGTTTTTGCACCGCCCGGAAATTGAACCGGGGACCTCTCGCTTTCGAGGCGAGTGTTTTAGCAATGTGGAGCATCCTAGCTCCATCATATAAACTGGTTGACTTTCTCCTCCATTGGATCAATTGGATCCCCATCCATCTGGTTGGGGTGACCTGTGCGCGCTGGCTGGTGCCTTTGCATGTTCTGATGGTGGCTTCTTGTGTTATAGCTGTCAGAGATGGGTGTCACCAAGGACAGCACCTTTAACACTCCCAACTCCAGGAGAATGAACGCTGCACAGAGAGAGGAGTGGATCGCGGAGCGTGCTTCCGCTTCACTCTTCATTGCGGCTCACAGAGGTCATCACAGTATGGTCAAGTTTCTCTTGGAGAACGGTAAGGGTTCTGTAAAAGTGACCAGCAGCCAGTTTGTTGGGGAACACTCGGCGTGGATCATTTATGGAGGCGTCAGCCTGGCTTACTTGGTCATGTCTTCACCTCTCTGAAGATTTGGACTTTAAACTCCACCTTGGGACTTTGAGCTCACAGTCGACGTTGTTTGTGTTCACACAGGAGCTGACACCGTGACAAAGACCGAAATTGGCAACACGGCCCTTCATGTGGCCGCTCTGATGGGGAAGTCTGAATGCATTGACCAGCTGCTGTCCTTTGGAGCGCTGATGAGCACCCCCAATAACGAGGGTGTGACCCCACAGAACTACGCTCAGAAGCGGGGGAACCAGGCCAGTACCCGCAAGTTCTTACTGCACCAGTGGAAGCTGCGCTCAGCCAGCATTCACCTGAGACAACACTTGGACTATTCAGACCTCTTCCCGCATCAGAAATTTGACTCTTCACTCAAGACGTGGAGGAAGGGAACGCACGCCAAGCTTTACATGCTCAATTTATCCAAACCCAGCCAGTTCCTGGGCTCTGCCATCGGGGCACCACGCAGGCACGGGACAGGGCAAATCACCTTCAGCCTGACCTCCAGGAGAGATGGCTCTAGGCACCCAGGGCCAGGCCATGTGGGACCCAGAGACGGGAAAGGGACCAGTATGAGCATCGCGCAGGAAACACGCCATCATAACTCTCCACGTGGCAGCTCCAACACCAGCTACGAAGAGGTGAAGTCTTCTGAGAACAGCAGCCGTCACACAGACGGGGCCAGCAAGACCCCATCCCTGGGCAGCAGCACAGCAGAAACAAACACAAAAGAGCCCACCATGAAAAATAAGCACCTGGAGCACTCACACACCGGCAAAAGGAAGAAGTAGTGTGGAGCCAGCAGGCACCAGGAGCTTTCACTGTTCAGCTGGCACTAAAGATCCTCTTTCTCCCCTCAGTATGTCTCCCTTTCCAGCAGACTGTGACTGGTCAGTAGTCACCACACAGTGCCTCTCCTCAGCTTTAGAAATACTGTATCTCATCTCCTCATTGGAGACCAGAGTCAACATGACACTCTCCTCACAGGAGATGTTTGAGACATTATTAATCTTTGGAAGAGTTGATGAGCAAATAAACAAACCAGAAAACTTGTTATCAAACAGGACATGTATGTAAATTTGACTGAGTTTGTTGCTTTGTGTAAGAAGTCTCAAACCATGTTGATAAAGAGACTGGAGTTTATGTACACATGGATTTTCAAAAGGCAATTGATAAAGTGCCTCTTAGGAGACTGGATAAGAAAATTAACGGACCAGAAGGTGTAATATGTGGAAATTGGTGGCATTGATCAGAGGGATGGCTGAAATTGTTGGCTTTACCTTGCAGGGCTATGGGGAGAGAGCGGGGGAGAGGGATTGATTTGGATAGCTCTTTTAAAAGAGCCAACACAGACACAATGAGCCGAATGGCCTCCATCTGTGCTGTATAATTCTGTGATTCTATGATAGAATATGGAGCAGAGGCAGCTAAATGAAATTGAGGTACAGATCATCCATGATCTAATTGAATGGCAGCACAGGCTCGAGGGGCTGAATGGCCTACTCCTGTTCTTATGAAAGATACAAGGCAGTAGACAGGGATAAGTGAGTATTTCTCTGAGTGCAGTTCAAGGCATGCAGGAACCACAATAGTTTTACATTGATGTAAACATGGGCACACTGGCTATATGGGAACTAATTTTTAAATGAGTCCCAGTATCCTGGCCTCAACCACCCTTCCTGGCAACCTGTTCCAGTCGATAATTATGCTTTGAATAAGGAAAAACTTCCTGGTATCTGTCCAAAAATTGCCCTTTACAACTCTAAACCACTGTCCTCTTGTTCTCCTGTCTTGGTGCCTCTGGGGAAAAAAAATTCAGGTGAGGATTGTGACAATCTAAACCTAGGTAATAAGGTATTTTGGGGCTGATTCTTTGATTTTCTGTGAAAGGTGCAATACAAATATAATTTGTTGTTGTTGATTCCCTGTTTCTCAATGTGCTGGGTCTCATGCTGGGGCAGATACATTGAATCCCTTGAGAACACCACCGTTCATCAGGAGTTTGCCCAGGTTCTGAGTCTCAACAAGAGTAAAGCTTGAACCTCATCCTATATCCACACATGAGTGGGAGGAGGACTGGATAGTGATCAGGAGTGAAAATTTTGCCCTTGATGACATGAGCTAACACCACAGTTTTGACTTGTAACGTATTTGCTCTCACCCGTGCTGGGAATGAATTATTGTAAAAACCTTCCCACCCTCACTGCCAACCACTAAGAAAGGGGGTTATTGGGTAATTTCATGGGAGGAATGGAATGCGCATTCCCTCCCTGGAGGGACGCATTCTGGTTACCTAACTGGGCACAGATTGGCAAGAGCCAAGACTTGGGGATCCAGAGGGTGTGTTGGGGTAATGCTGAGTCTGACCAGCTAAAACCACATAGCTTGTCCAGCTAGGACCACCATTGGGGTTTTGGCAGGATTAACAGGAGCTGGGTAGGAGGATTTCCTGCCACCAGTAACTGGTCTCTGGTGAAAGTCCTGCCGATGAGCCAGGCTGGCTGTGCTGTCATCAGCAGTGCCCCTAGATACTGCGGACCTGCCTAGCTCAGGAACCAGATTACTGAGACCACCACAGAGGGCTGACTCAATTCCCACGTTCTGTTGCCAGTTCAACTCCAAGGAGATCCCACTTACCTCCCCACCATGGAGGTAACATTAAAATTAAACCGTGCAAGCTACTAGTGACTGTGATGTTTCTATGTTATTTTGACATCTTACGATGGCTGAATTAGTATTGAAGGCCACCATAGCTTAAGATTTTCCTTCTCTGTAATGTTGCTGCTTTTAATTATCGGTTACAGTCTCCACCACAAAGTTCCTGTTTCATGAAGTTCTGAGGTTGACAATTTCAAAACCGCTGACTGTAGACCAAAAACATGCTGTATATTTTACTGTCTCCTCAAATGGCTTACGGATAACAGCTAATTCAGATGAGTTATCCAGTTCTAAAATAAGAAATTATGATTAAATATCCCCTGTAGCTTGTCTATCAGATAAAGGACATGAGTAAGGCTAATACGCCAGTCTTCTAAACCTTTGCCCTTCATCCGGCTCCATTGGATGAAGAACCTCCCCTGAATAAACACAATGTGTGGGCCTGTAATATAGGCAATTATGATGGCCACAAGCAGATGAGAGATAGATTATAGCTTCCAAAGTATTTCACATTCCATTTGTGTTTAAAAAAAACTTCTTCTACAATGGAATGAAACTTGATGTGTATAAAACCCCAATTCTCAGTAAATCAGATTTATGCTTTGAATTTGAGAGGGGAGAGAGGGAGACTGTGAGAGCGTGATGGTGGGGCAGATGGAGTTGGGTACGTGAAGCGAGCCGATGTTTGCTGAGCAAACGGAATGGCCACATATGGAGATCGCAAGGGTGGGTGGGAATGAGGCTCCCGCATCCAGCTCAGGTGCCCAAACGGCAGCGCTTTGAGACATTATTCTAAAGTTTTTTTAAAAAATTCTGAATGGAAACCCAAAATATTGCTTATGCAGCCCCTGGACGTTTCTTGAATAAGGTGGCCAAAAGGTTGGACAACCCTGGCCTAGATGACCACACTGCTGAACCGTCACGATGGCAGTGGGAATCCCAAAGCTTAGATCCAGTTTTTTCAGTTGGTTTGCATTTCTTCCATCAGGGTTAATGAAGACGTTACCAGGGCTGGCAAGTTACTGCTATGAGGCAAGGCTGTCTAACTTAGGCCTTTTTTCGCTAGAGAAGAGACGTTTAAGGGGTAATTCATAGATTCATAGAATGTTACGGCATAGAAGTAGGCCATTCGGCCCATCAAGTCTGTGCCGGCTCTTTGACAGAGCAAGTCACTTTCACTAACCCCAATCACCAGCTTTGTCCCCATAACCCTGCAAACCCGTCTTCCCCAGATACCTATCCAGTTCTCTCTTAAAAGCTGTTATCGAGTCGGACTTCACTGCCCTTTCAGGCAGATCATTCCAAATTCTAACAACTTGCTGAGTGAAAAAATTTCTTCTAACCTCCCCTCTGCTTCTTTTGGTAGATATCTTAAGACTGTGACCACGGGTCACAGACACACCTACCAGCGGAAACAGCTTTTCCCTATCTCGCCTGTCGAAACCTTTCATGATCTTGAAGACCTCTATCAGGTCCTCGCGTAACCTTCTCTGCTCTAATGGGAAAAGCCCTAACTTCTCCAGCCTGTCCTCATAGCTAAGGTTCCCCATTCCTGGTATCATTCTCGTGAATCTCCTCTGCACTCTTTCCAGTGCCTTAATGTCCTTCCTGAAGTAAGGTGCCCAGAACTGGACACAATACTCCAGCTGAGGCCTAACCAGTGTTTTGTATAGATTAACCATAACCCCTACTCTTATACTCTATGCCCCTACTAATAAAGCTCAGTACACCAAATGCCTTTTTTACTGCCTTATCTACCTGCCCCACTACCTTTAATGATTTGTTTACTTGAACACCCAGATCTCTCTGTATGTTCACCCCCCATAAGGGTTCATAAATAAGATTATTTCCACTGGTTTGTCTAACCAGGGAACACAAATATAAGATAGTGACTGGGGGAACTAAACGAGAATTTAGGGGAACTACAGTACTTCACCCCGAGGGTAGAGATTGTGGAACTGGCTGCCTGAAGCAGTGGTTGAATCAAATAATGTAGAGGCATTTAAGAGAGAGATAGACCTTCATGTGATGGGGAGAGAAATAGAAGGGTGTGGGTGGAAGTACGGAACAGGTGGAGACCCAGGTGGATTGTCAACACCTGCAAGGTAAGCAAGGTCTCCTTGGAGCTGAACTAGCTCCAAAGTGACACATTTGGCAACAGAATGCAGTAATTGAGCCAGTCCTCTTTGATGGTCCTGGTAGTTCGATCCCTGCGCCAAGCGGGTCCACAGTATTATTATTATTGTTGTGCATTTTGCCCACAAAATAAAGTCAATTCAGCTTACAGTATATTCTGTGAAGCGCTTTGAGACGTCGAGAAGACGTGATAAGGCACTATATCAAATGCAAGGATTATTATTTATTCTAGGTCACTGCTGATGACAGCACAGCCAGCCTGGCTCATTGGCAGGACCAGGAAGCGGAGACCAGTGACTGGGTCCAGGGAATCCCTCCAATTAGCTGCTGTTAACCCTCTAAGTCAAATCCTTAACAGGTCGGGTGGTCCTAGCTGAACAAGCAGCGGGAAAGCTTGGGAAAGTAATATCAATGTCAATGGCAAGCTTTGTGGTTTTAGCTGGTTAGATTCTAGCAGTTACCACAATGCACACTCTGTGTGGTCCCAAAGCCTTGGCTCTTGCCAACCGGCACCTTATACTTTCTGGAATTAAGTAAGCAGGATATGTCCAGGGAGAGAATCACATTCCATTCCAACAGTCTATCTCTGGGATTTCCATGTGTAAGTGGGATGCATGCATCTTAAGCATGGTGATGGGTTTTTGCATGTGAAAGACACCCAGCTGACCAAAACAAAATTGGTAATTTATAATAAACCTTTAGCAATTCTGAATTTGTACACGAAGAGGAAACATTAATTGTAATTAAAGAGGAAGAATTTATTGCTTGCTGTGTGAAAAATTTCTAAACAATGCCTAAAAATAGCCTAAACACTAAATATGTCCTTCCAATAGATTTCATAATAATACTTGCACTCTATATAACACCTGTAATATCAAAACATCTCAAAGTGCTTCAAGGTAAATTCTATCAAATGATGTACATTTATAAGCAAATGTGGCAGCCAATGTGTACACAAAGGAAGGTCCCACAAACAGCTATGAATTTTACTGAAGACATCTGGAGAAACTCTTCTGAATAGTGTTGTGGTATTGTTAATGTCCACCAGACCGTTGTCATATTAAAGTCTCATCCAAGTGGATGGCACCTCTGGAAAAGCATTCCTCCAGTCCCTTACCAGAGTATCAATCTCGACTATGATCTCAAAGTCCGAACGTGGGGTTTGATACCATAACCTTCTGACCCAGAATTGATAGGCTAACACCTTTACATCTGTTAGCAATGACCAGCTGTAGGGAAGAACCACAAAAAGAACCATCACCTTTTCCCAGACGGCTCCTGAGTCTGGATCTCCCACCTTAACTAAACTGCTGAAAAAAGATCGACTCTGTAAATCCAGTAGCTGAAACAAACAGCCTGATGGGACGCGTTTTGGTTACCATTAACTTTGTGTCTTAGCTCACAAAGCAATGAGCTAGCACAGACATCTTTGGAACAGGAAAAAAAAACATTCAGAAGGGGAGAACAATAATTGCAGTAAATTCTTTCTGGATGTAAAGTAAGCAATAGGGTAACAGGTTGTGTTAACGGAAACATTTTAAAATCTTTATGACAACCTACTTAGTCTTTACTAATAACCACACGTGACTGATGCAAACACCGCCAAGCCTCATTGTGCACAGTGGATCGGTCGGCAACATCAATCCACACAGTCTTCAGGCCACTTCATCTGATTGACGAAGCTTAACTTTACTTTTTTAATGGATCCAAATCGTTCCAGTCCCAATTCTGGGATCCCAGATCTCCAGCCAATAAAGCCTTGTGTCGTCTTCGGTACTGGGGGAGATGGCTCCACCTACAGAGACAACCAGAACAAGAATGTGAAGCAGGCAGGTAGGATGAAGGGTGGGGAGGGTGACCAAAGGCACAGTCAAAGAGGAGGGTCTTAAGACTTGCCTTGAATGAGGTAAGGGAGGGGGCGAGGCGAAGGGACTGTGAGATGGGAGTTCCAAAGGGTGGGAAAAAAGATGTTTTTTTAACGGGGTGGGTGGAAAGGGCAGAAATATCAGCCAGATTCTCATTGCCATTCAGTGATGCCTGCTTGCTGAAAGGTGTGTGGTCTATAATGTTGGATGATAGGATTAGACTTGGCTGTGAGACTCCACCAATACACCTATGGATGAACAGCCCATGTTTGTGAATGAACAGCTGGCAGGGATGGAATTGTTACCGCAGGCTATAACTTCCAAGAGGACGGTACAAAATTGGTGGCTGGGGGAACAAAAATGTTCTGAAACAAAATTAAACTCTCCCCACAGCAAATTTCATCAGTTTCTTCAGGCTACAATGTAAAGCACTAAAACGCACTTTGAGAAGTCTCACTAACGTGATAAGGCGCTATATTTCTCTTGAAAAGACAAGTGTGAGGGGTGACCTAATAGAGGTCTTTAAAATTCTGAAAGGTTTTGATAGGGTAGACATAGGGAAGATGTTTCCACTTGTGGGGGAGACCAAAACCAGGGGCCATCAATATAAAATTGTCACAAATAGATCAAATGGGGAAGTCAGAAGAAACCCAGAGATTGGTGGGAATGTGGAACTTGCTACCACAAGGGAGTAGTTGAGGCAAATAGCATTGATGTATTTAAGGGGAAGCTCGATAGGTACATGAGGGAGAAAGGAATAGAAGGTTATCTAAACTGGGCCCAACTTTATAAGAACTAAATGAATGAAACAAAGATATTTGAACCTGGATGTACTTGCTGATGGGGGTCGCTGGCCGAACCTTCAGGTGTTCTGGGGTCTCGATTCTACATGTGGATCTCTTCTGCTTCTCTTCAGCCTCTATCTGCATTCAAACATAAAGGGCTTGATGATGATGACAACCCAAAGGATCATACTAAAACACAGATGGAACATGCATATGGTTACATTAGACATGTACTATAGCTAGGAACGTGATTTGAGTTCCGTGAAATTCATCTGGTACCATCCAGTCCTGATCACTGGACCATTTGTATTATTTCGTCTGGATGATAAGAAACAGTTTAAAAAATATATTTTAGTACCCCACCAAACAAGTAAATATCATCCCCTCAATGAGAGAAAATATTAACCCAGAGGTTAGGAAACCCAATGTGCCAGACACTGAAAGTGCAATATGAGTGGTGTCTTAAGAAAAAGAATGAATTCTACAAACATTAGAATGAAGTGAGCTCTGTATTCCTGTATCTCCTCTTACTCTCTGTGAGGGCAGATCACACCCCTCGGTTCGGAAATCCTGTAATACCAATCCCAGCCAACAGAGAGCAGCCTGAAAGCACAGCGGTTACCAGGTGCCCCTAATTTATGGGTTAGATTTGGTCCTGACCTTGTGTAACACAATTGATTTTCAACAGAACTTTTCTGGCAGGTCGAGCCCAAGGAGTAGCTGATATGAACAGATACTATTCTTGATCTTAACCAAGATGCCGAGAGGCAATCTTGAGAAACGTATGGTGGTGGTCTTGTGAATATTACCCCATTTATGCTTTAAAGCTGTTCCATTCCTGCACATCCAATGGCGAGGAAGATCGTGCCCCCATTAACTTTGCATCTGTACCACAGCCTCAGATTTCTTGAAACAACAGCCAACTCAAAACTCCAGACTTATCAGTGTTGTCACTGCTGTGAAATGAGATCATGTTGCCATTGTTTAGGAAATGAATGAATGATTGAATGAATATAGGAACAAATGAATGAAATCAACTACACAATTCAGGGGTGATAAGCAATTTTGGCTCTGCCATCTGTGTTCTGTATTGCATTATGCACGTAAGAAGAAAACATGCTCAATAGAGCATATCTCTCCAGGACCAAACCCACATTTTCCCTCCCTCTGAGCTCCTTAAACTCCTGCCCATCTATGACTCTGTTAGAATGGAATGAAAATTACCTGATCTCGCGCAGTTATCAGAAATCCCCATTTATTTGTCCATTTCTTGGCCGATTCAGATTCAAATTCAATCAAGTTTTTCCTGGAATAAAATACAAATGTAAATTCTTTGTAAATTAGAATCCTGGAACATTTCAGCACAGAAGTAGACCAATCTGACACCAACAAAATATACAGTCTATCCACTTTACAATATATTTTGTGAAGAGCTTTGAAACGTCTCAATGATGTAATAAGGCACTATATCAAATGCAAGGAATATTCGCCCACAAATATACAGTCAATTCACTTTACAGTATATTCTGTGAAGCGCTTTGAGACTCTAGAAGACGTGAAAAGCGCTATATCAAATGCAAGGATTATTATTATTATTTATCATTATTATTATCATAACAGCATTTATGTCGCACCTTTCACATCGGAAGGCCATGCCAAGGCTCTGGACAGTTAAAGGGTTGCACCCGAGCTCAGCATTGGAACCAAGAGGGGTGAAGGATTGGGGGAAGGTCGTCCAAAGCCACGATCAAAGAGGAAAAACAGATGAACTATCTTTGGTCCAGGATGCAGGAGATCAGACCTGAACAATATGTAGAACAGTGCGGATTTCCATGCTATCCAACCCTATCTTGAAACAAAGATTTACGGCACAGAAACAGGGCACTCGGCCCCTGCTCAGTGCGCGCCGGGATTTATCTCCACGCGAGTCTTGACCCACTCCTTACTCCCTTCCACACCCTCAATTAAAATATACTTTAGATCAACAGGCCACAAAGTGCACTGAGGTCTCCGTGCCCAAGTTGCTAATTGTGGTTTTTAATCTCAAATAATGTGGGGATAATAATAATAATAATCCTTGCATTTGATAGAGCGCTTTTCACGTCTTCTAAACGCCTCGAAGCGCTTCATAGAATAGACTGTAAAGTGAATTGACTGTATATTCGTGGGCGAAATACGGATAATATGGGAGATGGAGCTATCAATAAACTGGAGGAGCCTTTCCAGTATTTGGTGCCTAAAAGACGTTGATATAACAGTCACATTCTCGTGTCAGATTCTTGCACGTAACCAAACCACAGACCAGAGAGGGAATAAAGAACGATCCTCCCGTAAAAAAGTAATGATGTTCTGCTTGTGATACGCGACGTGTGTCCAAGGCCGACTTGTCTCTTTAATACTTTCTGGTGAATCTGTCCCTTCTTCCCCTACACCAACACACACGCCCCCCCCCACCAACAACCCCTCCCCACCCCTCCAATACCCCCACCCACACCCCAACCCCACCACACCAACAACCACTCCACTCACACCCCAACCCCACCACACCAACACCCGCCCCCCCCACCAACAACCCCTCCCCACCCCTCCAATACCCCCACCCCACACCCCACCACACCAACACCCGCCCCCCCACCAACAACCCCACCCACACCCCAACCCCACCACACCAACAACCCCCCCCCCCCACCCCACCCCACCCCCACCACACCAACACCCGCCCCCCACACCCCCCACCCCACCACACCCCAACCCCACCACACCAACAACCCCCCCACCCCACCCACACCCCAACCCCACCACACCAACACCCGCCCCCCCCAACAACCCCCCCACCCCACCCACACCCCAACCCCACCACACCAACACCCCCCCCACCCCACTCACACCCCAACCCCACCACACCAACACCCGGCCCCCACCAACAACCCCCCCCACCCCACCCACACCCCCCCACCAACACCCCACCAACAGAAACCCCACCCCCACCAACACACCCCACCCCCATCCCACCAACACCCCCCGACCAACACTCTCTCCCCCCCCCCCCCACACCCCGAACTCTTTCTTCTTTTTAATCGGCAACAACAGCGCCGACTGCACAAACATAGCTCAGTTTATCAATAATAATAACAGCAATAGCACAGCCTCCGGGGGGGGGGACACGGGGGGGGGGGTGGGGGGGGGACACGGGGGGGGGTGGGGGGGGACACGGGGGGGGGGGGGGGGGACACGGGGGGGGGACACGGGGGGGGGGGGGGGGACACGGGGGGGGGGGACACGGGGGGGACACGGTAGGGGTGTGGGGGGTGTGGGGGTGGGGGGGGTGGGGGGGGACACGGTGGGGTGGGGGTGGGGGGGGACACGGTGGGGGTGTGGGGGTGTGGGGGGGGGTGGGGGGGTGGGGGGGGACACGGTGGGGGTGTGGGGGGGGGTGGGGGGTGTGGGGGGGACACGGTGGGGTGGGGGGGGGGGGGGGACACGGTGGGGGTGGGGGGGACACGGTGGGGTGTGGGGGTGTGGGGGGGGTGGGGGGTGTGGGACACGGTGGGGGTGGGGGTGTGGGGGGGGGGACACGGTGGGGGTGTGGGGGTGTGGGGGGGGGTGGGGTGTGGGGGGGGACACGGGGGGGGTGGGGGGGGGGGGGGGGGGGGGGGGGACACGGGGTGTGGGGGGTGTGGGGGGGGGACACGGTGGGGGTGTGGGGGGGACACGGTGGGGGGTGGGGGGGGGACAACGGGGGGGTGGGGGTGTGGGGGGGACACGGGTGGGGGTGGGGGGGACACGGGGTGGGGGGTGTGGGGGGTGGGGTGTGGGGGGGGGACACGGTGGGGGTGTGGGGGGTGTGGGGGGGGACACGGTGGGGGTGTGGGGTGTGGGGGGGGACACGGTGGGGGGTGTGGGGGGTGGGGGGGCGGGGGGTGGGGGGTGTGGGGGGGAACGGTGGGGTGTGGGGGGGACACGGTGGGGTGGGGTGTGGGGGGACACGGTGGGGGTGTGGGGGTGGGGGGGGGTGGGGGACACGGTGGGGTGTGGGGTGTGGGGTGGGGGGTGGGGGGGGGACACGGGGTGTGGGGGGTGGGGGGGGGGTGTGGGGGTGTGGGGGGGGTGGGGGGGACACGGGGTGGGGTGTGGGGGGGGGTGTGGGGGTGTGGTGGGGACACGGTGGGGGGGGTGGGGGGGTGTGGGGGGTGTGGGGGTGTGGGGGGGGGTGTGGGGTGTGGGGGGGACACGGGGGTGTGGGGGTGTGGGGGGGACACGGTGGGGGTGTGGGGGGGGGTGGGGGTGTGGGGGGACACACGGGGTGTGGGGGGTGTGGGGGGGAATACGGGGGAACGTTTGCTCGAAGCGTTCGGATTAAAAAGACATAACGTCCAGTGCTTCAAATACCAACAGCGAATGGTTTGTCTTCAGTTACCAAATGGTGTCCTGAGCCACAAAGTTGTGCAGATTGGAGGGTTCCTGACTTTTGCCCGTCATCCCCGGGGGGGGGGGGGGGGGGTGAGGCTGTGTGTGTGTGGGGGTGTGTGTGTGTGTGTGTGGGTGTGACCGGCTGTGTGTGTGTGTGGGGGTGTGTGGGTGTGTGTGTGTGGGTGTGTGTGGGTGTGACCCTGTGTGTGTGTGTGGGGGTGTGTGGGGGTGTGTGTGGGTGTGTGTGACCCTGTGTGTGTGTGTGGGGGTGTGTGGGGGTGTGTGTGGGGTGTGTGGGTGTGTGTGTGTGGGTGTGTGTGTGTGTGTGTGTGTGGGTGTGACCCTGTGTGTGTGTGTGGGGGTGTGTGGGGGTGTGTGTGGGGGTGTGTGGGTGTGTGTGTGTGGGTGTGTGTGACCCTGTGTGTGTGTGTGGGGGTGTGTGGGGGTGTGTGTGGGGGTGTGTGGGTGTGTGTGTGTGGGTGTGTGTGTGTGTGTGTGTGGGTGTGTGTGTGTGTGTGTGACCCTGTGTGTGTGTGGGTGTGTGTGACCCTGTGTGTGTGGGTGTGTGTGTGTGGGTCTGTGTGTGTGTGTGGGGGTGTGTGGGGGTGACCCTGTGTGTGTGTGGGGGTGTGTGTGGGGGTGTGTGGGGGTGACCCTGTGTGTGTGTGGGGGTGTGTGTGGGGTGTGTGACCCTGTGTGTGTGGGGTGTGGGTCTGTGTGAGGCTTAAGTGTAACAAAGCGGCTCATTGTTTACCACACGTGGCGCTGTTGCCATGGCAGCGGGACACCAGTGTCAGGTCTGTTTGGCAATAATAATATAATAATATAATAATATAACAATAATATAATAATATAATAATATAATAATATAACAATAATATAATATAACAATAATATAATAATATAATAATATAATAATATAACAATAATATAATAATATAATAATAATAATAATAATAATAATTCTTGCATTTGTTACAGCGCTTTTCACGTCGGGAGGACGTCCCAAAGCGCTTCACAGAACACACTGTAAAGCGAATTGACTGTGTGTTTGTGGGCGAACGCGACAGCCGATTGCGCACAGCGATGCCCCACAAACAGTCGCGGATTGAAAATGACCAATTTTTTATTGTTTTTGCTTTTTGGAGGGATTATTATCGCAATCTGCAATAAATACAGCAGGTCAGGCAGCAGCTATGGAGAGATCAGTCTGCCATCAGTTTTGGGGGGAGGGGGAGAGGGAGGGGTGGGGGTGAAACCCAGATTACCACCACACCAACCCCGGTTCTCGACGTGAAAAGCGCTCTGTAAATGTAATGTTGTTGTTCTTCTCAGTTTCTTCAACACAAGTTTTCCGCTTCTTTAACTGTGCTGCTAATTGATTTTCAGTTTCCTTTCAGTGACTGTGCCTTCGGACACCCTCGTACCCCTACCTCCCATGCCCTCTCTCCCCCCCCCCCCCCCGCCCCCCCGATTACAACCCCCAGTTTGGGTGTAAATTCTTGACTATCCAGCGCCTCGGGACATGCTCCCGCCGTGAAAGCCACTGTACAATCCCTTAAAAAAATCTACAACTCAATCTCAATCAACTGTTTGTGGGACATTGCTGTGTGCAATTGCAATTCGGTTACCGCCGAAGGTACGGTCAAAGAGAAAGGTCTTGCTGCAGGCCACGGAGGGTGCGAGACGGAGGGGCTCTGGGATGGAGGAGAGAGGTCAGGTCAAACTTCCTAGAAATTATTTATTATAGTTGTTTACAAAGATTTATAAAGAATGTGCAGCACGAAAACAGGCCACTCACCCCAAACCGTCCTTGCTGGTGTTTATTTATTTTTCGAAAATGTATATTTATTTATCTATAAATAAAATATTTGGTACAACAGAAATCCAAAACAAACACAACGTACAATGTCTTCTGTCGCATTGTTCCATTTCACCCGATGCAAAAACATTCTGTGCCTTACGTTGCATTCCTTGACCGCACACAGGTTGTTGCCACGTTTTTTGGGTTGCTGCCTTTTACACAGTCGGGAGTCGCCCCTTTGTGCGCCGCACCCGTGTGCATGTCCACACACCCTGATAAGGCGCACTTGCCCCTTTCGGAAGGCGCCCTCATGTGCACCGTACGCACTCATGTTTACTGTACCTACATTTTTGGGTCACTCTTTGGTTACAGCTCAAGCGTCCTTCTGCACCCTTACTTCAGTCAGTTTTGGGTGCGCTCGTGGGCTTCCTGGTGAGTGCGCCCCGAGCGGGTTGTATCGGAGCGGCTCCTGCTAGGGACAGGCCCCCCCATCTGGCCTTTGCCATTCTTGAGCTGAACTTCAGCTTATCCTTCAGTATATAATCCCTGATCCTAGCCTTCGCGAGCCTGAGGCAGGTCCTCACCCTCCCTTCTTTCTGTCAGAGGAAAGAGTGTTCAAACTCTAGACGAGTCTCCACCTACTCCTTACTTACTCACTCCCTCCCACACCCTTCTATTCCCCTCTCCCTTATGTGAAGGTCTAGCTTCCTCTTGGATGCATCTAAACTCCAGATAGGACCACCCTACTCGTTAGGACTTTGGCATATTGGGTTAACAGGAGCTGAGTGAGATGAATCGCTGCCCCAGTTTCCTCTCCTTCCTATCAAGGTTTTGATTATTTTTGCTTTTTCTGAGGGAAATTCTGCCAAAGTGGCCAGTAGTTCTCCATGAGCTGGGCAGTGAGTGTTGGGAAGCTATTCACGTGCGTGTGTGGGGAGATGACCACAGTCGAACCTTTGCCTCTATTATCATCCACCTTCCACTAGGAGTCAGTGGCTCGCAATTAGGAGTGGGGACACTAATTTTCTCCTCCCTAACCCAGGAGGATTGAGACAAAACTATAAACCTATATGCTAACTCAACAAATAGGACCATCCTACCAATCAGAGTCTGCATATGAACTTGTGACCATGTAGTGTTTATGACCCAGTGCAATGTCTACCAAGGAAGCCGTTTCTGTGCAACTTAAAAGTCACACAAAATAAGGTGCTGTGCTTCACTGTGAGAAGAGAGAAAGTGAGATCTGGAAGCAATCTCACCATTACAATGTGTTAACTCCATGCAAGTACAATTTGGATGTTTGTCTGCAACTGTGTGAATGTCATTCCTGTTTATGTCACAGTAACGATTCACTGTGCATATTGTAAGTCTCTCACATTTGTACCCAGCTGACATCTACTTAATCTGCTGACTGCATGGAGAGCCAATGAGTCCACCTCCCACTGATGCTCCATACACTCAGTGCTAGACTCTGCTCTGAAACCATCTGCCTGTGAACGTAACCCTTGGAACTGTCTCTATCCTACATGCAAGTTGAATCCAAATAATTCCTGATTTAAAAAAANCTCATCTCCACATTAGAGACTTTCTTTACTCAGAGTATGTGTCTAACTTAATTGAATAAATAAATATACGGTCAATTCATTTTACGGTATATTTTGTGAAGTACTTTGATAAGGCATCATATCAAATGCTGGAGGGAATCTAATGAAGGAAATCTGGTTGTGTGTATCTATAGAATCCCTGGGAGAGAGTTACTGACTGGAATATAATCAAGAGGTTTGTGTAGGTTATATATAAATAGATCCTTTCAGTTGGTTACAGGTGGGATCTAATCAAGGGAAGCAGGTGGTCCATATATAGCATAACTCCCTAGGAGTCAGGTTCGTTCAATTGACGAAGGGTTGTGGACCTGAAGTGTTGACTCACTTTCCTTCCTCCATAGATGCTGCCTGACCTGCCGAGTGTTCCCAGCGACTTCTGTGTTTGTTTCAGATTTCCAGTATCTGCAGTATTTTGCGTTAAGTTACAAGACTGAATCTGAATGAGGTAGGCCAGTAGTTAATATACAGAATCCGTGGAAGTGAGTTACAAGATGAAATCTAATTGATGAAGTTGCCTGTTTTATATAAAGAATAATATTCCCAGTCTTCTTTGCTCAGTTACTTATGCCTCTGATTAACAATATTTGGTTTCAAGATTCACATGAGGTATATGGAGTTACATATCATTTTAAATAGGATTGAAAGTTCTTTAACATATTTTACAGAACAATATTTTAAAATGCACTAAGACAGTAGAACAAGAGGACATGGGATTAACGTTGCAAAGGGTAATTTCAGGACTCGCCCTCCTAACTTGCCTTCTTCAAGGCCCATCTCAAGACCTTCCTTTTCAACTGTACCTTTCGTCATCTTCCCTCCTCCACCATCCCCCCCTTGCCCTTCACCACACCCCCCTTGCCCTTCTCCCCTCTCTTATCCCAACCCCAAGCTCGGGTGCAAACATCTCATTGTTCAGTGCCTTGGCACATCCTCCTGATGTAAAAGGTGCTATATAAAGGCAATTTGTTGTTGTGGTAGCTGATTTAAAGAAAACTCTGCTTTTGAGGAAGAAATAAACTACAGAAACCCTGACCTCCCCAAGGTAAGTGTGCCGGTCCTAGTGGAAACCTTGCAGTGTTAACTAAAGCAAGTACACGTTGGCTCTCCTGCACCTTTCCGTACTGAGTACTGTGATAATACAATGCAGGAAACATGCGGGTTGCTTAAAACAAAACTCGCATTTGTTGATATAGCGCCTTTCCCATTGGGAGGATGTCTCAAGATGCTTGTAAGATGGATCCCGCTCGTATTCCTTTCAGACGTTCTCCCTACATTGGAAAGCGCTATACAAATGCCATTTGTTGTTGTTGATGAAGTGGATAATGATAATAGTGACCCTTCCATTTGGTGTGGCGCCTTGTCTCGGAGTGTTTCACGGAGCGTGCTGTGCGGTGGATTGGCTGATGTTGAGTGGCCGGGGTTGGGCATGGCAGCCGGTTGTGGGCACCCGTGTCCCACAGACGGTCGTGGGTTGAGTGAGCAAATTATTACCATTTATGGAGTAGAGGAGGCGAAGGACAGACACAAGTGAAAGAAATGCAATGTGAATAAGGACAGCTGGTCATCAGAAAAAGCAAAGATTGTAAAGAACAATTATTAATGTCCTTCAGGAGCAATTGGTACAGCCTTGTGCAGAAACCCTTTTATTCCACAGCCTCCCT